GCCAGCGTTGGTACGAAGCCTGAATTGAGTTTTCAGTCCCCTTCCTTTGTCTTTGGGGCATGGATCAACGATTCCGGGTGGCCGGATGGTGTCATCTGGTTCGTAGGTCTTGTCCAGGCCGCTTATGGTATGTCAATCCACCATTAACATTTCTATTTATCCAAGTTTCAAGCCCTATACTGACTTTTATTTAGGTCTGACGGCATTCGATGCGGTAATCCACATGGTCGAGGAAATACCTATGCCTGGGCGCAATGCACCCAAAGCTATCTATCTCTCGGTTCTCTGTGGCGCTGTTTCCGGCTTTGTGTTCATGGTGGCTGTACTTTTTTGCATTCAAGACATTGATGCCGTCCTCGACTCCGCCATTGGTCTTCCGTTTGTGGATGTCATGCAGAGCGTTCTTGGGCTAACTGGGGCTGCTGTGTTGAGCGCCCTATTCATTTTCAACGGCTTCGGTCAAGGCATCAGTGTTCTGACTTCAGCCTCCCGGCTAACATGGGGCTTTGCCCGTGATGGAGGACTTCCATGGGGCTCATATTTTGCGTACGTGGACCCGGTGTGGAAAGTTCCAGCCCGCGCTCTCTGGCTCCAGTGCGTAATCATCTCTCTGATTGGAGTTCTCTATCTGTTCTCCAACACTGTTCTCTCTGCTATCCTTTCTGTCAGCACTATAGCCCTCACCATTTCTTACGCCATCCCTATTTCCGTTCTGCTTATTGTTGGGCGTGATAAGCTTCCCCCACGAGAGTTTTCACTTGGCCGGTTCGGTACAGTAGCCAACTGGATATCTCTGATCTACTGCGTCATCACGTCTATCTTCTTCTTTTTCCCTACTGAACCGAATCCCCCTCCAAGCGACATGAACTACGCCATCGCCGTGTTTGGAATTATGGTCATTTTTTCGATTGGATTTTGGTTTGTCAAGGGCCGTGTCACGTTCTTGAAGACCCTGGAATCAGCGCATCTTGCTACCGAAGCACGAAACTTGGAGATTGAAACATATGAAGGGATTGATGGTGGAACAAAGGGACCTGTTAAGGAACTATCAAAAGATTCTAAGATGTAGTAACGGTTTGATCTAATTTCGTAGCTATAACCCATCGGCTACCTAAAATTTGCCTTAAAAGACACAGGTAGAAGCATACGGAGAACTTTTTGGGGCATCTGATCACGCAACTGTCAATCATTTAAACTTCTTTGAGTCATTATAACATCTCTCAACAGAATATTTTGAAAAATAATGGCCCAACATGCAGTAATGTAAAGCAACGTGAAAACTACTTGAAGCTAAATCCATATCAGTCAGGAGGAAATAAAACCTGCTTGCAGTCGTCCAGTAGCGCGCTCTAGTTGATTTGATGCATGCTGCCGTCCTTCAAATGTATTCATAGGACCTAGACCAACATTATCCGCTCTTGGATACGACATATAAATGCCATCGTGGACAGTTCCTCGAGACGACCTTGGAATCTAATCATCCTCTAGCCCAATGCATTCTCTCTTCGCGTCGATGATCATATAAGATTGTGTAAGAGCATTCTGGCATTTTCCCTGTCCAGTCAAGGCGCTGCTATATTGGCCAGTGCAGTTGGCTGAGTTCCAGGTGCAGAGCTTCCAGTATTGCCCAGGATACCAGTTCACACGCTCGGGGACTCGTGATTCCGTCGGCACATTGATACACCAAGTAGACTTGTCTCCTTGGTTGGAGAAAACAGATCCTGAGCTGCAGGTCTCTCCTCCTTCATAGCCTAGCAGCAGCCATCTCGGCCGTGGCTTGTTGTCCAACAAGCTGATATCGTTAACAACCGCATTATCTTCGGTATGCGCGTCAAGGGACAATGAATTGGGGGTACCGGCTCGGTATCTAAAACAGCAGCAGAGAAGCGATTGTGACTATAGCGAAAAGACTGACGACGATTCTAGATATTTGTCTAAGCAACTCTACCAAGAAGTAAGCACAGCAAACGACGCGGCTGTAGAACGGAAGGTGGAATAAGATTAAATAGTGACAGGCATTCGAGGTAGTCGCGGCTCCTGTAATACTCCAATAGTTTGTGATGATGGCTTGCTCTGTAAAATTAAGCCTTCTCGTTGATACCTGCTCCCAGGTCCTACCAAACAGAGTACCGTCGCAGGGCTTCCAAACGAGACTTTCAAGCAAGGCTAAACAATCAGAGGAGATGTACATGGATGACCATCTCATAAGTGTCTGGGTGGGATTAATATTAACCCTCATCTTTTTGTTCAAGCTCACAGACGAGGGTAAAAGTAAAGGTTTGTGGCTGCAGGATTAGATTGCTGATAAACTTTCAGTGGTCACTAGACGACAAGATGGTGTAATCGTTGTTGATGCGTTACGTCAAGCTGCCGGATGTTGGGCAGGTACCTTCTCCCAGTTGACTTCAGGGCAGCTCTTTCCCATAATTCCAAGAGAATAAGCATCTGGCGTGCTCCAGATCCTGAATGCCCAACTTTTTCCACCTTCGATCTTCACCATCTTATGACCTGATCCGCCGGGTCATCAGCAGATGTGTTCGCTGAGCGGACTCGGATCCAGATCATCAATTATCCTTTCTCCCCATCAATACGCGTATTTCTTATTCTAGCCACCATCCTTATGGGTCTACGCCCCCGAGAACTTTGCTTGAAGAGTTCCAGCTGGTCCAGTGGGGCAGCGCGTTGCCAAAGTTACCGCCCAAGCTCCCGCTCTTCCACGTACTCGACCATTCTCTGGATTTGATTGAAGCGAGCGATTATAGATTTTTACATCCGACACAATAGACTTCCAGTCATGGAGGAAAAGGGTGCCGCAATGGCCATGGCCGGCTCGACAGTCGACAGCAACGTGGACCGTGGTGCTGGTGCCAGGATGAGCGAGAACGCGACCTCCTCTTCGGACACCCTAACTCCCGCCAAGCTCAAAAATCTGCCGGTGATCAACGAAAGGTCAGCCGAAGAAGGAGTGGGAATCGATGACGAGAACACTGTCTGGTGGACGAGCGACGACGACCCCGAGAATCCTCACAACTGGTCTATCTGGCGAAAATACTCCAACACCACCCTCATCAGCCTCCTCACCCTCATCACGCCTATGGCGTCGAACGTTTGTACTCCTGCGTTGCCCAAAATAATGGAGGACTTCAACCAAGCTAAAAACGACGAACTATCATCGTTCGTCACGTCTATCTTCGCGCTCGGTTTGGCCTTCGGGCCACTCGTCTTCGCACCCCTCAGTGAGCTGTACGGCCGCCTGCCCGTTTACCACGTCTGCAATATCATCTTCGTCATATTCACGGTGGCTTGTGCCATGGCACCTACTCTCGGCTCCCTCATTGCATTCCGATTCTTGGCGGGATGCTTCGGCTCTACCCCCATGACGAATGGAGGAGGCAGCGTCGCGGACATGTTTCTCCCCGAGGAGCGAGCCGTCATAATGGCTGCATTTAGTATTGGCCCGCTGTTTGGTCCGATCATCGGTCCCGTCGTTGGGGGCGTGCTTGCTCATCACAAGGGCTGGAGATGGGTTTTCTGGTTCATTGCCATATTGGGCGGCGCGGTCTCTGTTGCCATGGTCCTGGTATTGCGAGAGAGCTTCGCGCCGGTCATATTGGCCCGGAGGACCAACAGGCTACGCAAGGAGACGGGGAACCAACAGCTCCGCTCGAAGCTTGACCAGGGTTTGACGAGCCGGCAGCTCTTCAAGCTGTCCATTATTCGTCCAATGAAGCTGCTCGTCTTTTCCCCAATCTGCACGGTCTTCGCCGTGGACGCCATGTTTGTGCTCGGATCCCAGTACCTCATCAGTACAGCGATACCATTTGTGTTCAAGGAGGGATACGGCTTTTCATCAATCCAGGCCGGCCTAATGTTCGTGGGCGGAGGCGTCGGGTGTTTGGTCGGCATGGTTTGGTTTGGCATCGATAGCACCTTGGCGATGAAGAGGACAAAGGAGCAGAATAGCGAGAGTGAGGCGGATCCGGAAGTCCGACTGAGACTGCTTCCAGCCGGGTCCATCATTTTACCTGCTGGATTTTTTATTTACGGATGGACCACATACTTTCATACACACTGGATGGGTCCCGAAGTCGGATTATTCCTCACTGGCCTCGGTAGGTCTTAGCCACGCAAAAGGGATTACATCTTCAAGAGGCTAATGTTAAATAGGAAGTATCCTCATCATAATGGTAATATCAGTTTACCTGGTTGATGCCTATGAGCAGTATGCAGCTTCGGCACTTGCGGCGAACACAGTCATGAGATCCATCGGGGCTGCATGTCTTCCTCTCTGCGCGCTGAAAATGTACAAAGAGCTTGGGGTCGGCTGGGGAAACTCACTGCTTGGATTCATCAGCATCGCTCTAATTCCTATTCTACTCATTATCCGGCGCCACGGAGCGAGAATCAGGCAGAAGTTTGACGCCAGCACTCTCTAATGTTGGACAGGGCCGTATCTGTCATCAGTTTGGGGCATGCCAGATGAACAGTGGTCCAAGAGTCGTTTTCACCTAGATATTCACGTTCTTTTAAGTTGGCATACTTAGACCGCCCTCTGCTTGCTTGCACTTAGAATAGACTCCGGAAACAATACCTAAAGTACAATTCATTAATACATATATTTTTATCTCCAAAAGCCTTTATCATACCATATCATCCATGAGAATTCATCGTAAATTGACATGCTCAGCCAAGGAGTCAATTCCCGCTGTTATTTATTTAGGACATCACCTGCAAAAGGGCATTTAATGTACTCGAATTTTGTATCTTAACATATACCTAGCTATCTTCATGAGCAATAGTCCTGATACCACTACGTATCAAAGAGCAGAGCTTGTAATTCTACAGAGTAAATATCCGATTGCTAAGCATCCTTCAGACCGTGGTTGGAAGTTGCGGTGACCTTATGTGATTAACCTGAGCGATAATGAGACTGAAATCATCGAATTTTACTTTCAAGGCCATCTCTAACCTTTCCCCTTCCAATGTGATGCAATACGTCCTTATGCTGCCAGCTCGACCCCTTCCTCCGTCAGAACACACTTCGCTGCCTCCTTAGACTCAATCCTGCAAACCAGCTTCAGGTACTCGGGATATAGATTCATATCAAACCCGAAAGTAGCGCCGAAGTGCCAAAATGGGACCAAATAGTAGTCTACTAGACTCTCCGCATCACCAATCGGGAACTCCCTCCCCTGCAGAGCCACCTCGATCTTCGAGTAGCAGTCCAGAATATATGCCCGTCCCATATCTTTGATCTTCGGATATAGGTCCTCTTCCTTTGAAAATCGAGCAGGGCGGATCAGCATGCCATAACCGTACCCGTGCAGCGTGCCAGATATCCAGGTCAGCCACTTGACAATGTGAGCGTTCTCGATTGGTGTCTTTCCCAGGAGCTTTCTCTCCGTGCACAGTGATGCGATGAAGCTCAGGATAGCCGGGTTCTCAGTGATGATCTCGTCGTCCACCTTGAGTGCAGGGACGAAGCCGTCGTGGTGGATCTTCTCTCGATACTCTGCGATGCTCATGCTGCCGTCAGCGGTCTCGTAACTCCCGCTAGGTCCAACTTCCATGATGACGATCCTATAAGGGATTCCGATCTCCTCGAGAAGAATATGGGCGCCAAGCGCACAGCCGGCTTTGCCCATGTACAAGGTGATTTCAGGCATTGTGGAATTTGATACTATTTGAATCAATTGGCTAAAATGTTGACTGTTAGGTACGGCTATCTTACCCTTTTATAGCAACAACTGAGGATTCTGTCCCCTATTTTTCCTCGAACAATCAAGGACGCTGACAAATGTATCATAATCCCTCGCGGGCTCTGTGGAACATGTCAGTAACATACAAGGTCATTCGCACCAAGTTGCAGTCATACCTACTCAAGGCTGCTTCTCTAGCGCGGCAGGGGACGCATGAATGCACTCGGAACTCCGTGTGCTGCTCCTGGCCTCTTGGAAGCCACCTCTAGAAAGGCTCTGGGAGCAGACTAGGCCCCTACATCGGTGTCGGGCATGATTAGTCACAGGCGTACGTAACAGTTCTCTTGCTACTCCTCTCTTTCGTTGGCTTTCCAGTCGCGAACGCGTAGCCTCCTGTTTCTGCCCACGCGACCCTGCGAACTTGGGCGCTGCCTCCGAACACGTCCGGCTTGGAAATTTTTGCATAGCAAAAGCAGGGGCTGATCTCGAATTATCCAGCGGTCGTTGCAGGCCAAAGGTTCTGTGGCATTGAGACGGTTAGCTGAAACACCAACGAACTGGGCCAAACGGGCCGTGTGCCAGCTTGGTGATGACCTCACTTGTATCGCGTCAGCTACCCTATACTCTATATGCATCTCCACCCAATTCCATTTTATCCGTTAACTCGACCATGTGGGCAACAACGTCAACGCACCGGAGGGCTTCAACATTCGATTAAGACCAGAGACTGTCGACTTTGTTTAATATTCCACGCGTGAAGACAATAATTGATCACTGTGGCCAGGCAGCCAAAAATCATACTAGAAGTAATGCTTCGTGCAGGCCAGAAAATACTATTTGCGGCATCAAGTATGAATCACTCGATATTTACGGTATCCGGTCGCATCACCGTTTTAATACATACAGTGAAGTCTACCGATCTACACATGCACGATTACCCGCCAGCATCAATGGACTTGAGCTTCTAAGCTTAGGCTTGCTGGTACATTCACGAGATACTCGGGGTATAGGGTAAGCTGGCGATTGAGGGGAGAGACGACCATTTTACCAGTCCACGCATTTGAACCCGCACAGTAGTACCTACAAATGGTAGGCATAACTGGCATACGAATGGCACTCAGTGCAGGCTGATATATTCTCAGCCTAGAGGGGGGAGGGCGCAAGTCGCGACACATATTCAGCGGTGCGAAATCACAGACTGACCGAACCACTCCACCATTGGAGACGGTGAGGAGCGCTCGTATGCGGCATCACCATTGGCACATGGCGGTACACCGTCGCTCGATCAAGAAGCTTCTAGCCTAGAAGTCATCTGATGCTTGCAATATGCAAGGAAGCACGCTCGGAACACTGCTCTGTACGTTGGGTGGAACTGGAGTGGGGATTGAGCCAGACCTCCGTGCTGGGTCGCGTTATTCTGGTGGTGTTGTAGGTCCATGGTCACCGTGTCCTTTATCCTCTGCAACCATACACCTCGATCGTGAAGCAAGTGCCAAAATCATAAAGAGCCGTAGGATACGTGATCGGGGTGGAATGCGAACGGTCGACGGAAGATGGGGTTCTCAAGGCAGTCGTGGTAGTCGGTTGGGATATCACGGATCGGCGCATCGCGTCGTGCTCGTCGCGCTTTGTCGGGTATGATTAAGCAGGTGAGAGGAGTGGCATCTTCGCAATAGCCTAGACGGAATCGAGGGGTTGGCACGAAGATCGCGGGATACGTGGACAAAAGGCGGGATGCAATCATGAGACAGTGGCGTCGAGTGGCTGGTCGGTTGACCTGTTGTGGGCGCCGGAAGCAGAACAGGTCGCATGAGCGTATGCAGAGCGACGAAAGAATCGTTTGGGATGGAGGGCCCTGGTGGTGATCGACGGTGAGGCCCCTCGATTGGTAGACGGGCTGATTCCTTGGGAGGGGATTGTTGGAACGGGAGGATGAGGGATGGGCTTCCATGGAAGGGCAAGGAGGTGCCCTGGCTTTGGTGGGCACTGGCAGCTCTCGTTGGGGCGGCGAGACCGCTGCAGGGGTTTATTTAGCGGTACCTCCACTGAGCTGGTGCCTTTACCAGCGATGCTAACTGAGGTACCCGCACATGCACTTCCAGCGCCCGGTTGCTGCCCATGAATGATTTGAGCGTTTGGAACATACATGGTGTATTCTAGGCCTCTAAGCCTCAGCTCCCTCTTGATTGAAACTGATGTGCCGCTGCTCCCCTCGCTTATGCCTGCTGGTGGGCTGCTTACGGGGCCTGTAGTGAGGGGCACCACTTATTACAGTGGCTTCTCCACACTGCGCCCGACCAAGCTTTTCACTAAGACTCACTACCGCCTTGGCTTTGTTCCTCGCAACGACGCGGCCTGGACCCTGGATTTTGATTGTCGTCCATTTCCCTGATCGGCTCACCCCGCCGTTGGGGCTGGTCTCCGTCTTGGTCGCTTGGATGTATTGACCGTGGCTCTGGGCTGCTCGTCTGTCGTGTTCGGCCTGCTGTGCACTATCCGCGTCTGCTCACTCGGATTGAGGCGACCTGTCGCCTGCAGAGCGACGTGACTGCAGCCTTTGGACTCGGCTGGACTCGACCTTGCCAGCCGATCCACTAGCAGCCTTACCTTATTAGCCTTTCCCCCTCCCTCAGGCCGTTCTGCACCTTTTCTTCCTCCTTTCCCTCTTCCTGGTCCTGTTGGGGGGCGGGCACACTTCCAAGGCAACACATAGACTCACGGCTTTTCCCTTGCTCGTCGGCGTGCATGCGCAATCAAGGCAGCCTCCTCTTGCTGCGGCTTATCTACACACCCTGTCAGTATTTACTATGGATTGGAACGGAGCCTGACTTGGCTTGCCGACCTTCCCACCACCCACCCACAGACATCCATCCCCATTCGACTTTGACAGTCAGCTCTCCGACTTACGGCGCGCCTGGTCTCCGCCTCGACCCCAATTGCGCGGCCTGCATGCAACAAATTGCATCCTTTCCTTTCTCCTTCTTGCCCGTATCTGGTACGCCGTGTCCGTTGCTCGGCCCGGCAGTTCTCGCCATCTTCTCTCTGCCGGCCAATCTTGTATCTGCACATCCAACGCGGTGGTCCCCTTTCTTCCCCTCCAGTAGGCATGGTAATCCACGCCGTCCAATGAGTCCCTCCTTCACACAGAATGCCGACGCCAAGGAGGGATCGGCTGCTTACAAGGGAGGACATCAATCAAGGTACGCCCATCACTCCATGTCTCGCCTATTGCTCCCGCTCCGTGCGACAGACAGGGCATGGGTCTTCTTCGCCTTGCTGACTTATGCATGTGGTGCACAAAACAACAGCACTATCACAATTAGATGATGCCATCGAGGCCTCCGAGCTCTTGATGAGCGTTGCGCCGATCCGCTTCATCACCATCGGAGGCATGCTGGCCGTGTCGCTCTTTGGCAACCGCTCCACCACCAAGGACATCGACTTCCTCCTCGATCCGAGCGTCGATGCCGTTGACGAGTACCGCGCCGAAGTCTTCAAGGTCATCCGTGGCGTCGCCCGCAAGTCCGGCTTTAGCAACAACTGGATGAACGACGAGCTGCGTATCTTCATTGGCGGCACCAAGCGTCTCAACCTCTTCCTCCAGTCTGTCAAGCAGGGTGTCATTGCCTACGAGGGCCGCAACATGACCATATACGCCGGCCGTCTCGACTTTGCCCTCGAACGCAAGCTCCGCCGCCTCAACGAGAAACTCGGCCGACCCCGCGAGCTCGATCTCTCCGATGCCGTCACACTTGTCCACTGGCTGAAGCGGGATGGGCATCCCCTCAGCCTTGCATACGTCAGGAGCCTGGATGAGAATGGCCTGGGCCTCCCCGTTGGCGACGCTGGCATTCAGGCGACAGCACGCGAGTATATGGCAGTGTACGGCAGCCAGGGCATTGTCGAGATGACGTGGGACCCCCTCGTACAGCGCGCACGCTACCACAACCTGAATAATGAGGCCGTCTTTATCTAGACCTTGTTTCTCTTTTCTTTTTCTATCTTTCCTACAAGCTGGCTTCATAATAGGCTTTGGGCTGGTAATATCTGTCATGTCATGCCACACACACCACTCACATCTTCCTGTCATGTCCTTTTTGCGTCTCTTCTTTCGTCGAGCCATCCATCGGCATGGGTAACGGGCATCTCCGCATTCATATATACACACACGATTTTAGCGAGCGGCAATGGCGCAATGGGAGGGTATCATGGTCTTTTCGGTCAGCGGACAAAACAAGCAACGTAGACCTGTAATACAAAAGCAAGGCAAAAAAGCCCCTCGAGATGTCTGGGCACATCTGCGGGGCGGGGAGGTTTTATCTGCAATCAACAGTTCCAAAAATAGAGAATATACGAGGAACCCAACTCCCCTTTTTCGTTCTGTTTCTTTCTTTCTTATTATATTCTTTTCTTTTCTTTTGTGCCCTTCGGTAAGAGCAAGTTTCATATCGTTCTGAGCGCCGCCGCGGAGGCCTGTATATTCCTCCTGTCAAACGGCTCGCTCGACCCCGCGATGCTGCTGTCGCCGTAGTCGTGCAGGACCAGCCTGCTCTGCAGCCTGGGCGCGGCGGCCGTCCAACTTGGCCTCGCGTAGGGGACGAACCCGGACCCGGGCCCGCCCTCGACGAGCTCGCCGTCGGGCCGCAGACCCAGCTCGAGGCGCCAGTTGAAGGCGTCGGTGAGGGCGTCGGCGAGGGAGGCCATGACGGCGAGCTGCTCGCGGTCGGCGCAGCCGTCGTCGCGGGGGTCGCGCAGCATGTCGGGCCTCCAGGCTGGGCGGTCGCTCCGGCGCCAGAGGTACTCGGCCTCGTAGCCCGTGAGGGGCTCGTCGTAGGCGCAGACGGTCTCGTAGAGGCGGTAGAAGGCGCGCTGGGGGGTGTCGCGCCAGCGCCAGGCGGGGATGAGGCGGGTCTCGTAGACGTCCGGGTGGTGCTGGTTCATGTAGGCCTCCGGGGGGTAGGCCATGATGTCGCGGGGCCGGGGCGGGAGGCGGCAGGGGAAGAAGCGCGGGACGCGGAGGAAGAGGAGGAGGAGGCGGAGGAGGGGGTGGTCGGAGATGCGGGAGAGGAGGCGGTAGGAGTAGCGCAGCTCGAGGGGCGTGTGGTAGAATTCCATCTGCCACCGCCACTGGCGCCACTTGGCCGAGAGGTGGTTGAGGCTCATGCCGGGGACGAGAGCGAGGGACCGAGAGCGAGCGGGAGAGGTGATGCGTCACGGCGGTGACTGGCTCTGCGGGCGAGCCATCCGAAGGGATCGAGGCGAGGCGATCAGGCGCGGGAGGAGTCCATCAACTCTTTGAGTATTGTCGAATGTAGGAAGAAGCGAGTGGAACGGGTGTCGAAGCACGAGCGGACTGAGGAAAAGACAGACTGTGTGATTCGGGGTGGGGGGAAGGGGGGCCAAGAGTCCGCGGCGTAGGATGGGGGAAGCCGAGCAGAGCAGAGGCCCCGGAACGAGAGAGGGATGATGGAGACGAGGGAGAGAGAGACAGACACAGAGCGAGAGAGAGAGAGCAACTCAACCACACACAGGGACGGGAGATGCGGTGTGGTTGGTCGGGAGGAGAGGGAGGGAGGGAGAATCGGGGACGACCGGCCAAGGCTCAGACGGTGTCTCGAGGCGGCAAGGCAGGCTGGGCGATTAAATAAGAGCGTAACAAGAAAGCAGACGAGAATTTAGTATTATTAGTAGTATTATTGGTTCTTCCGGGGCTCCTGCGCGATGACGTTGCGGTGGCCCCAGCGAGTGCTACGCGTGGTGATGATTCTAATTAATTACCCGCCCGCCGCTGTGTTGGTCGGTTGATTCATCTTCTTTTACGAGTCCTTCGGGCTTCGATGGTCTTCCTTTCGAGCTTCGATCATCCCTCGACGGCGGCCAGGGCCAGGCCAGGGGGTGGTGGGAAAAGCAGGAGGATCAAGGTGACTGACGGCTCAAGAGCCAGGGTGGGTGGGTTGTCGACGATTTTGGTGCCAGACGATCACATCGGTGAACGGAGATATGAACCAATTCGTGCTGGATTGGGAGGAGGGGCATCCATCTCGTCTCATGGCACACGCTGACGGCTTGGGCGGGCATTGGGGAATGATCGACTCTTGCGCCGACAACGCAGCCAAGCAGGCACGTACCAGGCTGGATCAGACTGGCAGAGTTGCTGCCCCTTTGCTCGCCCTGCCTCGCCCTGCCTCGCCTCGAGCCAGCGATTCGTTTGCTGGAACGGTGGATCTGCCGATTTTGACGTCGTGATCCGGCCGGGGAGACCAGGACTGCCTGACATTGAACCCAGCCATCTGGCCCACAGGAGCGACTGATCGTGCCTCTTAGGCTTTTGACGACTTCCTGCTGGGGTTTGGCGTGTTTTCTCCTTTTCTCTGGGCTTCCAGCACCCCCAGTTGAAGGAGAAATCAGATTGGCTTCTCTCTCATCCCGCGGACTTAAGCAGCCCCTTGTCGTGCTATAGCCTCCCCGGAGGTCTTTTTTGGTCAATCAGTGACGTGACCTGCTGCATCGAGGGTCTTTTCGATGCGACGCTGGGCCAACACCATCTTCTGTGCGGCGGTGATACCAATGCCCAAGGCGCTGCTCACTCGTATTTGCCTACCGTGAGTTGTCCAAACAAACCACGGCCAGTTCTTCAATTGTCCTTTTGTTTCTCGCGTCGTAGAAATCCGGGTAGCCTTGTAGTAGCGCCTCTGGATTCTCTCTGCTCTGCATCGTGCATTAATAATACGCTGATTGTCATGCTGCATGTGCCCAGTCAGCAAGAGCCTCCACCGAGACCGCTGAAGCCACTGACACAGGCTTCTCAGTTGGTGGCACTCAGGCTTCATGGTGATTAATTGATTGGGAAAGAGCTCTGCATCGAGCACCTGCAAAATTTCCTCTTGCTACGTCACCACTGAGAAATCAATCTTACCCCTCTCACAAGAATTGATTCTTTCATCTTCACGACCACCTCGTAAGAAGCAGCAGAAATGGCCTCCAGCATCGCCAAGACCGTCATTGCGACCGGATCCTCCTCTGGCCTGGTATCTTCAACCGCCGCCCCATTCTACGGAATCAACACCCCGCTAACTCCCTGTCTAGGGCTTTGAGGTGATCAAGCAGCTTCTTGAGCAGTCCCAGCCGTACAAGGTCATTGTTGGTGCCCGTAACCTCAAGCGCACTCAAGATGCCTTTGACGCGCTCAAATACGATCGCGCCCTGCACTCGCTCAGCATCCTGCCGCTCGAGCTGAACGATCTCAAGACCGTCAAGTCGTTCGCTGCCGAATCCCTCACGCAGCTCGGCTCCAACAAGACTGACTACCTCTTCCTCTGTGCTGGTATCAGCGAAGGCGCAGACAAGCCAGGACCACACGGCTCCAAGTGGTGCGAGCCTTTCATTGTGAATCATCTTTGTCAGTCTCCGCCTCATTCTTTTCCATTGGGAAATCATATCAACCTAACTTCGGGTCTACATCAGCCCAGCACTATCTAGTCCACCTGCTCCGCGAGAAGCTCGTCGAGTCCAAGTGCCGCCTCGTCTTCGTCTCCTCAGGCGCCGTCCGCAATGTCCCCGACGTCTCGGTCCTCGACAAGCAGCTCCTCGGAGCCTCGGGCGCCCCCCGGTCCTCCACCTACCCGCAGACCAAGTTCGTTGGCCTGCTCGGCGCACACTGGTGGCGCCGCCAGCTCACCGGCCAGTGCCACGTCGTCGCCGTATCTCCGGGTCTGATTCCCGCTACAAACCTTGCCGCGGGTCTGGGCCTCAAGGTGAATATGGCGGACGCCAAGACTGTGCCTGAAGGTAATCTTGTTCTGGTCATACTCTTTTCGCAAATGCGCTGACTCAATCTTTTCTCTAGGTGCCAAGAGTCTTCTCGAAGCGTTCACGAGGACCGATTTCCCCGCGGACCCGGAACAGATCTTCCTCACTAGCTGGGGAGAGTGGTGGTCCAAGGATGTGTACGCTGGGTCACTGGACAAGGAGCTACAGGATAAGTGGTGCCCTAGCAAGGAGCAGATTGAAAAGGAGGAGAACATTTCTAACTGATGTGTATTATGAGACAAGAGATCTAGAGATTCTAGTAAAATGAACAGTATTTGCATGGCGGCGCCTCGATCATGATGGCAAAGTTCCCCACGATAATTGCAATGACCATAGCCACCGATTCACTTAATTGTCAAATTGAGTGATCAGAAACCTAGATTATTGCCCTGTATTTGACTCAAAAAATTGCTATTCCGTTGGGCGGACTGGCGACACCTCCGATAACCTACGACCGTCTCAAGTTAGCATTGCCTTCCACAAGCAACTTAATGAACACATCACTCACATTCAACGGCATGCTCGTAAAGAAGAAGCTCCATCTTCCTCTCTTCTTGCATTCGGCACTTAGGCTCTCCAAGTCGAATAGCTCCCCAAGCGGGACGCCCCATCCAGCCAGAAGCCACTCATGCAAACAGTATTCACGATTCTGCACCGGCCACGCCTCGACGCTGGGGTGATCCCCCACCACTGCGGAAAACTCGTTCTCCCATAGCCACCGCAGTGTCTCCTCTGAGCTCTCCACGCCGATGGCGCTGGGCACAGCTGGCTCCGTCAGGGCCAGCCGGTCCGGTGCGGGCAACTTGTTGTAGGCGCGCCCATATCCGCTCCTGATGAACAAGATGTCTCCATGGCGGAAGGTGGTTCCTTGCGACTCTGCTACCTGCTTCAGGGTCGAGACTGTTATGGAAGTCGGAGAGAAAATAGCAGGCGAGAGGCTTTGTGAATCCGCCCAGGCAGCGTAGTCGAGGAGGACACCGCGACCTACTATGCCTCCGCTCTCAACCCATGCTAACAGACGAGGTGTTAGTGAGAGGCCATTCGCCATTGAGAGGGGTGATGTGCAATTATTGTGATATACCTACCGTGCATGCTGTTAGCATCTGAGTTCCGTATATCATCCGGCGTCTTCCCATTGTAGAAGAGCCCCTCCTTCTGGAACCCATAGTGCCTGAACCCGTCCCACTGCGAGCTGCTCTGCGTGTTGATGCTGAGCGAGTCGTCGAAGACGATCCTCGGCGTCTTCTGCCAGATCTTGTGCTCCAGGGGGGCGCGGCCGAAGCAAGGCGGGGTCAGGTGGCCGAGGGGCAGGTTGACAGAGACGCGGCCGCCGTCGACAATCTCGCGGGCCGCAGCGGCGGTGACCTCTGGGGTGAGGAGGTTGAGCATGCCGAGCTGGTCGTCGGGGCCCCAGAGGCCCCATGCGTTGCCCCTGGGGCCGTCCTTACGCAGCGGGAGCTCGTCGAAGGTAGGTCTCTTACTGGTCATGGTTGCTGTAATTTGGGGTGAGTTTCTGGAAGGTGTGATGGGATTCGAAGCAACCAAAAGGCATGTAGGAAAAAACGGAAACGCGGAGGTGGTGTGGGTGAAGTGACGGATTTACAACGTGGGGAAACGGGGGCATCGTGCGGGGAATCGGGTTACCAGATACCGAGCTCTCAACCTACCTTGGATAAAACTACATCAGTACTGTTTAATAAAGATGATAACTTTCCAGTCCCTAGCAAGATATTTGATTACCTTGTTTTGTTTGAAGTTTTGGTTGCTCTACGAGCCAAGTTTGAGAGTTTCAGGGGGCAAATATCGATGCTACAAAGCACTGACTGCCCGGATATCAATATTGGAGCCAACAGCGAAGAATAATCTGTGATGAAGGTGAAAGAGTCTAGTATAAGAACGGAGAGTGATCAAGGCCTAGAAGTGGTACCTCTGTGGGTGATTTCTTTGCTTTAGATTCTATTCTAGATCAGCTACTGCGCTGAGTGGTTGGCATTTAAGTGCTGTGTGCGGCGAGAAAGGAGGAATTGTACGATGAATCAAGGATCGTCGAAATATTGCAACATGAAACCTAAACTTAATCAAGTAGCTACTTCTCAGTTACTCCGAAAACTAGGGATGATAGACATCTGCTGCGTTTGCAGTTGCAGCTTCAGTTCTTCTAAGCTGCCTTTGACTCCACAGCTGGCTTGTCATCCACATGGTCTTCGTGAGTAGCAACTGTCATTTCGGTCTCCTTCTCTAAACCCACACTGACCACCGCCTTGGCATGCTGGAAGTCATCGATACCATCAAAGATGCCGGCAATCTCCTCCAGCGTGAAGCCGCGAGTCTCGACGTATGTGAAGTAGATGAGCACCACAAACGCGGAGTTGAAGACGCACTGGACAATGTAGTACCTCCACCCAATGTTCTCAAGTGCGACAGGGTTGAGATAACTGGCCACGAAGGCAGAGGCGTTGATGCTGAACATGGTCCACGAGAAGAAGACGCCTCTTTGCTTCGTCGTTACTACTTCCAGCGGGTAGGCGATGACCAGTGGGATCCAGCAAATCGCGGTGAAGAAGCTGAACACGAATATGATGACAATCAATCCTATGCCGTATCCATCCTTGGGGTCGCGTAGATATGTGGCCGTGAGCGCCGTCCAGACGATAAACGTCACGGTCATGCCGATGGAGGAGGTAAGGAAGACAGTCCGGCGTCCGACGCGAGGAATGACGAAGGCGGCACCGACAGCGCAAACCCACTGCCAGATGTTGACGAGGCCATTGATCAATGTCTTTTCCTTGGAACTGGTCATGCCGACTTGATCGAGGATAAGTGGGAGGTAGGTGGACACAAAGTTGCTGCCCAAGCACTGAGAGCCAATGGCGGTCCAAAAGCCAAGCCAGAGGCGATGACGATTGCCTTTGGAGCCCAGCACGGTCTTGATTCCCTCCTTGTTGAACTTGATCTGCGTCTTGTCTGCCTCTAGACCGGCTAGGATCTCCTGAAGCTCGGCCTCGACGAGGGGAGTTCTAACGCCATTACCATGATACTTCACTAGGATCGCCTGCGCCTCGTCGATGCGACCCCTGGAGCAGAGCCAGCGAGGACTCTCGGGGCAGAACCAGATAGTCAAGGCCTGGAAGCACGGGAGCATCAGCTGCAGGATGCAGGGGAGCTTCCACGCCCACTGCGTCTCCATGCTGAAGGTGGCAAACGTGACCCAAGAGCCGATGACCAGGCCGACAAAGATGCAGGTATTGTAGATCGAGGTGAGGGTCTCGCGCTGCTTCGGGTGGACGAGCTCGGCGATGAGGACGGGCGCAGCGATCTGCTGCAGGTTGCTCCCGAAGCCGAGCACCAGCTTCGCGCCGGAGAACATGCTGAACGAAGTTGCGAATGTTTCCATTAGGACCATGCCGATGACGATGAGGCCGCCGACGAAGACGAGAGCTCTCCGGCCGAAGCGGTCGTTGAGGGGTCCGCCGATGATGCAGGCCACGATGCCGCCCACGGTCATGGAGGCGCCGTAGAAGCCCAGTGTTGCGCCCGTGGGGTTGCCGAAGTTGTCCATGAAGACTGAGACGGCCTGCAGGCCGTTGGTCATGCTGAGGTCGAAGCCCCAGGCCGCGGATGTGACCATAGGTGACAGTAGGAGCAGGTAAAGTCGTATCAGACCGGGTGATTTGTACCATGGTGGTAAGTCTTGCATGAAGCGCCGGACATCATCTTGATCCAATGCAGACGACATGGCGAAGGCTAACTGTTGGAGTCAGGAACAATGGGAGAGGGAATAGGGGTGATAGTATAGAGTCGATGGCTGAGGTGGTAAGATGAGAGTATGAGGATATCGACTGGGCTGATCCCCTGATATGTCATATACCGTGATGGTATCACGTATACTCAGCCAGTTTAGGGCCGCTGTGGAAGACTATTGTCGGCGTATTTCGAGCCGAGACCAGAGTCTAGACCAGTACATGACACGATGAACAACGAGAGTCACTCTTCATCAGTCACCAGAGTTCCAATTTTCACAGGTGAAGAATACCCCAGATTGGGGAAAGGGGATGGCCTTGGCCGTCATGACTGGGGAAGCTGGGGTCCGATGCTCTCACCCACCGACCTCCAAGCGTTGCCGGATGGAGGTTCGAGAGAGAATTTTATGCGCTCGCTATGGGCTCACACTCCAATCAAGATGACGCCAAAGTGGAACTCGGGGGCCTCCCCCGATGCCAAGACTGTAAATAACTCGGTTGCTTTTGCACGAGATGCTCCGCTCCGCAATTTGGAGTTGGGGCCAGTTTCTCGGACATCACCAGACTGACAGGGATGTGTCTACCATTCACATTCCACCGAGCCGTTACACGCAAGCTCACATTGAGGTAGATGCTCCGAGCCAAGGAATAACTTTCTCGGCTAAGCGCGGGCATCATGGCTGCTGATGGCGAGTCAGAGCCAGAGTCTGGTGCCGGGGTGCCGGAAAACCCCTTGTCATCCCGCCCAAGGTATGTTCTACCCTTTGGTTTTGGTGATGTTATTGCGAACCTAGAGAATGGGACTGAAGTATCAGATCTTTCATATATTCATCGACCAGAACTAACGCTGTGCTAACGCAATAGAGCGGCAAGACACATGGTACGCTCAAATTCGCAGCTGCCAAGGGGCCATTCGACATCCAACGTCCATCAAGATCATATCCCGGATATTCTAGCTCGGCTGTCCCATGTAGAGCGCATCCTGAACCTAGATATCAATGAATCTCAGCATTACGGTCACCGCAGTAGGGATGCAGTGGCAGACATAGCCGCCCTTCGCTCCCTTCTCGCTCCTGGGATGCATGGGAGTCCCAGAGACCGGGACCCATCCGGCGAGATGAGCCTCTCCCCCGGCGAGAGCGCTCCTCTATACAGCCATCGAGACACCCAGACTCACGATGATGTGATGGGGTCTCTATCCTTGAGGCGGGATTTATCTCATCCGGAAAACCCCCCATTTGGTACCTGGTGGACGTACACTGTCGAAGAGACGCTCTTGTGGCCGATTTTAGAATATCAAGGCAATATAAATAATTGTCTGGATGTCATTTTGGGAGATTTTAATGATGAGCCGGACAATGAAGACACCGAAAGACGCAACCAGCCATTATCTTCTGGAATCACTCTTGGATTAGATGATGGTGCTACCATCTCGGAGTTTGTCGAAAGCTTTTTAAGAAATATCCACACCAAATTTCCCATTCTCGAACCCCAAGAGTTGCGAGAGCGAGGTGAGAACCTCGTGGAAAACGGTCTTGGTTGGGATGGAGAAACCTGTCAAGTTGTGAGTTTAGAGATGGATCTTGTACTGAGGGAGCATTACATATTACAGTACTGACAGTTAACGTATTGGATAGCTACTCGCCTGCGCTCTCGGGGCCATTTCATGTCCGTGGGAGGTTGCTGATTTAGAAAACTACGACCGAATAAAACCTTCAAGAGAACGATTGTCGCTCGCTAATGAGTACTTCTCGGCTGGTCAAAAGAGACTTGGTGCCCTGTTGACACAGTCGTCAATAATTGCTGTTCAGTGCATATTCATGGCTGGCATCTTTCTCATGCATCAGCAGAAGCCTGTGGCAGGTTGGAGATTACTGAATGTCGCGTCCATTGCCTGTCGAACCTACATCTCAAAGAGAATGGCACGAGAGAGCAGAAATGGACGGGAAAGCAGATCCAGAAGCATGGAACAGCGTCTTTGTTGGAGCTGCTTCAAAACGGAACGGTAAGATATCAACCCGCTACTAGTACGATAAGGAACTGACCTTGTGCCTCTCAAAGTGAAGTAGCTTGTGAGTTTGGAATGGAGACATCTGGCCTGAATGTGATTGCATATTCGACATCATTACCAACTCCCCCGAATGGCTTCAATTCCGAAATGGAAAATTCCACCGCACACCAAACCGTGAGCCCTAGTGGGACAACTGCGACCTCGATGATGAGGGAGACTTACCAAGACAAGTCATGGTACTATTTTCTCACCGATATCATGCTTTGCAAGCTCGAAATGCGCATCGACAACTACTGCCAGGACAAGAGAAGAGAAGCTTACCACTTCGCCGGAGGATCGCCAGAGGTCTTCTTCCGCAGCATGACCGAGGCACTGCAGGAGTTCAGATACCAGCTCTCATCATACTACAACTCTTTGCCTCCTCTTATGCAATTTCCCATGGGCGGGTTAGTTCCCTGCGAAGATGAGGCCTTGAATCAGCTTCGCTGGCGCATATATTGTGTCCAACACGATATTTACATACCTGCGCTGTACATCCTACTCCATAATGATGTGTCTGGATGGTCGCATAACCTCGTCAATGATTTGATTGATCTCGCGAACGAATGCCTCAAGCTGGATGTGATCTTTCTCAAGACCGCAGTCACTCCTCATAGACAGTACAACACTTGGCTATGGTTGAGGAAAGGGGTTCGAAGCGCCTTGATTCTCATTGCCTCACGGCGACTCAAAGCACAGCGTAGGCCTGGACTAGAGAGATTAGAAGTGCCAGATGACGTGACATGTGCGGATGGGGCACGGAGACTGATTCAAGGCTTGAGATATTGGTCGGCTGAATCAAACGATTGCAAAGAATATTTAGCATTACTTTATGAGCTTCATGCGGAGTTCAGGATATAGTTATAGGATCTTTCAAAGAGAAACCGCAGAATTGTTGCAAAGAGGGGTGTAGAGATCTCGCAAAAGGTCTGCACGTATTAAACCCAACCCCGTTGGCCCTGGATTGTTTCTTAACCAATTCTCCAATGTCAGGATGCAGTCTTCCTCGTCCGGTCCCCACTGCAATGGTCGCCCGTTTGGCGACTCTGTATCATCTATGCATTGCATTGATGCAATGAGCAATAGCCCCAGGCTTAAACATGTCTGTATCTTCAACCAGCCCATATCAAGTGTCATCACTCGTGATGCCTGTGGATTTGATTCCTCATGGCCGAGAGACAATCTAAGCCGGCTGACGACTAGTTTGCGGTGCTGTATCATCATGGAGTGGAATTGGGTGATGTAGTATTGCTTTACCACATCCGAAAGACTCTGTTGGTAGTTAGATGACCCCGAGGCCATAGATAGCTGCAACGACGGCATCCTTTGTAGGGTTAAATAGAGCGAGGGGCGCAGGACGAGCTCTCGGGCCTCCATATACTGCCACTGTAGCAGCTTGCTCTGTGCCCCAACTTCTGATCGTTCGTCAGGTGTTTGAGAAGAACCTGTAAGTGGGTCTGCTAATAGAGATTTGAGGTTATTAGGTAGCTTCAAGTACCAAATGTCGAGCGATTGGCCTGCCACACGTAATTTGTGGTGGAGTGTGTCCAATTCTTGAGCAGACATCTCATTACCAACCATTTTGGAGACATCCACTATGCGCTGGCGGATTGGTAGAAGGGATTTCAGTGACCGAGTAATCGTAAATGGTGTCTGGGTACTTTGACCTCCGTCTTGTAGATTGTAGGAGGTGAAAGTAGGTGAAAGTGATACTTCACACTGTAGTCGGCTGGAAAACCAGAGAATTATGACGGTAAGCGGGGTGCTTTAATATATGACTGAGGAAAAGCTACAAAAGAAACTCACCATAACAAAATGACACACATGTATCGGATGTTGTCGCATAGTTCTTCCTGTTGCCTTTGGTGGCTCGCTTCCTCGCCCATTGAGGGACCGTGACAGGAGGATTTTGTGTCAATGGCTAGTAATGAGCCGTTGAGTAGCTTAAAGGCTGCAGTGGGTTCCGATGTATGAATATACCATATGCTGGCTGCTCAGTCAGAAAGCGATTCAAAAACGAATAAAGGGGAGGTCCATACGCTGCAAGAAGCTGGCATTGGGCCGCTACCATTCCAGACCCTTCTAAAGCCCAGGCGAGCCGTTTCTTCGCCATGTTCCAATATCTCAAGGCCATGCTTACTGTGGATGACACATGCTGAGCGAAAGCTGAAGCCTGTGTCAACATACTCGCCAGAGCTGCAACTACCAATACCAAGCAAGCCTCTACATTCCACATGTCTCCATATTCCCCGATATGCAGGATATATCCGCGAAGATCTGCAGCGTCTAAAATAGGGATGACAGGCAAGAAGCTAGCTTGGAAGATGTCTACGAGCCCGAGAAGAGTTTCTGTAGCACAAGTGGCACTTTCCCTCCCCGTTGCTTGAGGCAAGAGGCCTTGATCCGCATGGTCACTCAGGGCTTGCTTGTAGCGAGCTACAGGCCCTCTGCCACCCTCAATATTGAAGACGTGCCATTCAAGAATGGAGGGTAGGCCTGTCACTGGGTTACGGCCCATGGGAATGCCATCGGGGCCTGGAGTCAACCCTTGGACAGGGGGGCGACTTTCACCTAGGACGGAATTGATAGGTAGGGCCGGAGGTATGGAGATATTATCAATGGCATCCAATATTCTTCCACCCCATTCATCGAGGTTTGAGGATGAGCTGCTGGTGTAAGGGTGGTGGTCAGCGAATCGACTTCATGTATTGCTGTGTTATCACTAGAGAGCGGATTCTCACGTAGAGACCACACTGGGGCCATATTCGCAAGGCACGCCCGCCTTGAAGCAATACGTGCACGTTGGTTGATGGCCGCTGCAACGCGTTTTGCGATCGCGACATGCTCGGCAAGCTATGGCTGTCCGCAGGGGAGACGAAGAGTCTCCACCGACTCGATGACGCTTGTTGCTGCCGCTGCTCATTGTCGCCAGGCCAGGGGTATTTCTCAACCAGTTGCTCTGGGCCTGCCTATTGGATGAAGACGTATTTTGCTCAGTTGATAGAGCAAAGGATATGTCCACGGGCTCATCGGGATGGCCCCGAGGCAGTTCATGCCCAGTGTCCTCCAAAGATTTGGATATTTATCGGTCCTCCCCCGATGCCAGGACAGTCGGACTAAAAGATATGGAGATCCTTTTTGCTCGTCTTGTGGATACTGGAGTCACCTGATAGCTTTTCAAACGGAGTTCTCCGCTCGGCTCTCCCCCGAAGCCAGAGGAGAACTCCTGTCACATTTATGGGGAATTGCTTCCCCTACTAACGCTATCCTTGTTAGCATCTGGAGTGATTGCTGGGCATCCTGGGGCAATATCCATCCATGAGAGCATAAACGCGCAAAAGTCCAATCATGGGGTTTCCCCTTTATCATCCGAGCCACTGCAGGTCGTATGGATGAACCCCTTATTGCCACCTGAGCTAGTATTTCTCGGAGCAATCCTCGACCAAGGTACGAGATCAAATTAGACCATGCCACCTCCAAGTAGAGCTGTCCATAGAGCTCATCGAAATACCAGAGGCTGTGTGAGAGCCACTCTATCGTTCTCTTCTCGTCACATTAGACAGCGGGAAATCTCTTTCAAAACCATTAAAAATCGCTTCAATTAGATATACTCTTTCTTTGATTTCCACAAAGTATCATGGGGCCTCCTCGCATCGACAGAGTGCAATTCGAACACCACCGAAATGCTATAGGAATTGGAGAATCGACCCCACGCATCTCCTGGCGGTTTGCTGGCGAGAATGTAGTGGATTGGAACCAAGAGTCGTATGAGATTGAAGTCGTACGCGCAGGAGACTCATCACCCGAGCTCTATATAGTTCAGTCCACCGATTCAGTTCTTGTGCCTTGGCCTAGCCGTCCATTATCGTCTAGACAATGCGCCTCGGTGCGTGTCAGAGCTATCGGGCGCTCGCCTCATCATAATGAGCCAACTCAATGGTCTGATGCAGCTGCCGTCGAAACTGGAATCCTAGATCGCAATGAATGGACCTGCTCACTTATCTCGAGCCCACGGGTGATCGATATCTCACTTCCCAGACAGCCTGTTCTTTTCCGGAAGCTATTTGAGCTGGGACAAAGCACTATATACAAGGCCAGGCTGTATGCGACTGCGCAAGGTGTGTATGAAGCAAGCATCAATGGCCAACGTGTCGGCGACCATGTCTTGGCCCCGGGATGGACCTCGTACAAGCACCACTTGACATATCAGACTTTTGATGTCACGGATCTTCTGCGTTCTGGGAAAAATGTGCTCTCAGCGCAGGTAGCTGAGGGATGGTTTTGTGGTCGCCTTGGCTTTTTGGGAGGTTCACGAAACATCTGGGGCGACCAGATGGGCCTCGTAGCAATGTTGGTCGTCGAGGCCATGGATGGCACTAGAATTGTCATGAACACCGACCAGGAGTGGAAGTGCAACACAGGGAGCATAATCACATCGGAGATATATGATGGTGAGGTCTGTGACCTGTCGAAAGAGCCTGTTGGCTGGCATGGGATAGACTTTGATGATGGATCGTGGGACTTAGTGAAAGTCGTAGGTCTCCCTGAAGCTGAACTTAGGGCACCTGATGGGCCACCCGTTCGTGTCACGGAAACAATAGGCGCCAAGTCCGCCATTACAACCCCAAAAGGCAAGACTGTTGTTGACTTTGGGCAAAACATTGTTGGCTGGGTGCGTATACGCATCCCTGGTGGTGAAAAGGGGCAAACGGTGACTCTGCAGTTCGCCGAAGAACTTGAAGATGGCGAGGTGGCCACGCGACCATTGAGAATTTGCAAGGCCAGAGACACAATTATTCTCTCTGGCGAGGAGAATGACTTTGTTTGGGAGCCTAAGTTTACATTTCACGGATTCCGCTATGTCCAAGTAGAGGGATTATGTGACCGAGTCGAGGATCTCGAACTGGGATCATTGACGGGCGTTATTGCTCACACCGACATGGAGCAGACTGGTTGGTTTGAATGCTCCAATCCACTGCTAAACCAACTACACCGTAAGGATTCCACGGGGCTTACACGCTCATATTAATCGTGCTTGAATCGCTGACGATGAAATCATGCCAAATAGAAAACGTCAGATGGGGAATGAGAGGTAATTTCTTCAGTATCCCAATGGACTGTCCTCAGCGAGACGAACGTCTCGGCTGGACCGGAGACATTCACGTATTCAGTCCTACAGCTAACTATTTATACGATACATCTGGTATGCTCCGTGAATGGCTGCGCGATATTGCGGCGGAGCAGATCAAGGATCACGGCAGCGCTCCTCCGTTCTTCTGCCCAGATGTCCCGGTCGATGACGTTCGATACCCAACCGCCATCTGGGGCGACGTTCTTGTTGGGCTTCCGTGGAGTCTTTTTATATCCTTTGGCGATGAGGATATTCTGAGCCAACAACTCGAGAGTATGGAGAAGTGGCTGGGCGAGGGAATCCCTCGTGACCAGGCAAGTGGACTCTGGAATGAAGATTCGTATCAATTTGGAGACTGGCTCGATCCGCTGGCACCGTCCGATGATCCTGGGAACTCTGTTACCGATACACAACTTGTGGCGAATGCATATCTCGTACATATCACGTCACTTATGCACAAAATATCTGTGGTCCTTGGGCTCGAAGAGCGAGCGACCTACTACGAGAAGTCCTGGACCCAGGTCCGGGCATCATTCCAAAGACGATATATTTCAACGGAGGGTCGTGTTGTCGGAGATACACAGACAGCGCTTGCTCTGTGTATTCATTTTCAGTTGTTCGAGACGCCCGAGCAGGAGAGAGTCGCCGCTTCTAGGCTGAGATATCTTATTCTTCGCAGCTCGCGATTCAAGATTGCAACCGGTTTCGCTGGTACGCCTATCATGGGCCACGCGCTTTCACGAGTCGGCGAATCGCAACTATTTTACCGGATGCTTTATCATCGAAAGGCACCCAGCTGGCTCTACCAGGTAATCATGGGCGCTACAACCGTCTGGGAACGCTGGGACAGCAAGCTTCCCGACGGCAGTATCAACCCGGGTGAGATGACCAGTTTCAATCATTACGCCCTTGGGTCCGTAGCAGATTGGATGCATCGTAATATCGCCGGCCTGGCGCCAGTGGACCCGGGATGGAAAACATTCGTTGTTGCCCCTATTCCTGGTGGAGATCTCACAAGCGCAAGTGCGAAGTTCTTGAGTCCGTATGGACTCATCTCTGTTGAGTGGACTCTGGAGGCAAAAGGTAGCAGATTATCTTTGACTGTCAAGGTACCTCCCAATTCAAAAGCAGAAATTAAGCCACCTGGTCAGAGTAAGGAAGACGACAAACCCCAAATTGTCACTTCAGGCACACATCACTTTGTGGTTGACTACCAAGCGCCCAAGTGGCCTCCGCTGCCAATCTATCCCCAGTTTTACCCCCATGATGATGATGAACCATGAAGATAGAAATTCAAATAGAGGTCAAAGAAACAATAGAAAGTTATTACCACATTGTTATATATAATACCCTGTCGAATCCATTGCCAACTATGAGTACCTGGGGTGATATCTATGGCCAGCCAGCCCGTAGTCTCATAAAGAACAAGAGTCTGCTCTAACCTCAACATGTGTTTCTTGTCAATCCGGTATCAACCGTAGCCTTTTGGATCCTCAGTCGCCGGCTAACCTACACTTGGACATGTTCAATGAGTTGAGTTCGTGCGCAGCGATCGGACGATGATGCGGTGTATAGATGTCCGGGGATCCAGGCTCATATGGCTCATACATACTTGTTGTGTCTCAAAAAGAAACTGTTGGAACTGAAGAAGGTTGGTAGACTGGGTTACTTAATTGCATTACAGGGGAAAGGGACTTTGTGATTCCTCACTTTCTATGGAGAGTTGATCAATAACTTTGTCCTTCAATTCCGCTAACTCGTGTTATCCTGATGAAGCTTCTATGATTGAGCTGTCACCGATGCCTGCAATAGCTGAACTTTCTATAGAGTATGGCCGGACAGAGGTTTCTAGCCAGAACATGATCTCTAAATCCCGGTGATACCGTGTCAAGAAGTCTAAGATGTGCAATGAAGCAAGGGAACTGCAGCATTTACTTATGCTAATGGCATTTTAGGTTTCAAGTTGAAGGAGGCTACTGTTAAGATTTAAATGTTCTCCCGAATATTTTCGGGGAAGCGTTTGGTCGTGAAGTTTGTTCACCAGCCTTGAAAGTCCCCTTTGAGAGCCTAGAATTAGCAACTGACGTCCAGCCGTGAATTTAGGCGATCGATGAATTCAATCATTCAATGGTCTAGAGTTACCATAACACGAATTATTTTCATTCACTTCTCGTGTTCGTTCCAACCCCCACACAATGGCTCGGCTACTCTCACGGAAGCAGCCCCGTTGCACCAGAACGTCTTCGCTTTTTTTTCGCTTCTTTTTCGCTTCTTCTTGGAATTCAAACCTTATCATGGTTGGAATGGCATGAGAAATTAGTAGCAGTCGCTACGAACCCTGGCGATGATCTTTAGCTTGAGCCGTCATGGCTATCGTCAGGCGAGGGATCTCCCTTGAACGGCTGGGACTTAAGGGAATGTGGCGTTGTTTGCTTGCAGAGCTTTCATCCATCTTCCGGATTTGAAACATGTCCAACTTGACGAAGATTTGAAGCCTGGAATTCAATATTGATTATCAAATTCCCATTAATTGAGGTTATCTGCACCATTACATATGTAACATTTTATTAACCGCAAACAGGGGGATCCGCAGTGTTCTCAGCTGAGAGTAAAGCCTTGAATTGTCGATCACTTGTCATCGTACACCAATTGAATGAAATAACAATAATTTATAAGGTAGAAAGGATCGCCAAACCATGTTGTGGCCAATGAGACGACAGATCTACTTTCTATGGACACATTGAGTCCGAACTTTGCAATATGAGTTCGTCAACATCACCGACGATTGACAATCAACATGGTAATAAAAAGGATGGTTCTTCATCTCTCGCTGGAAATCACTTATCCGATATTAAGAGAGCCATAACTGGAGCAGTGAACTGGGCCTGGGACGTACAGAGGGATGATCACTGGCGTGGTGAGGTCCGAACCAACGCCACCATTACAGCTCAACAGGTCTTCTTTTACCAGTCCCTTGGCAGGGATCCGATTCCTGATGCTGACGCATACCGGAGATATCTCCTGGGAGAGCAACAAGATGACGGTTCATGGGCTCTTGCTTGGGAAACACCGGGGGATGTTTCAACCAGCTGTGAGGCTTATCTGGCACTGAAGATTTTGGGCGTGAGCACCACTTCGGTGGAAATGACCAAAGCACGACGTTGGATACTCAAAGCTGGAGGCGTTGCTACTGTTCGAGTGTTTACGCGTATCTTCTTGGCCCAGTTTGGCCTGTTCCCTTGGGACTCTCTGCCCCAGCTCCCCATGGAGCTCATCTTACTCCCGGCCAACGCCTGGATCAATATTTACCGGATGTCGTACTGGGCAAGAACAACAATAGTCCCTCTCCTCATTATTGCGCACCATCAGCATATCTATGCACTGCCAAACGGAAGATCCGAGCAAAATAACTTTCTTGATGAGCTTTGGCTTGATCCCACAAGAAAGACTGTCCCCTGCTGCCCCTCATTGTGGAGTGGGATAAAGTCGGGCTTCTATACCTGCTTCTTCTCGGCGGTTGATAACCTACTTTATTATCTCAATGGTCTAAGAAATTTTCCTCTTCGTTCTTTAGCCCGCAAACGGTGCGTGGAGTGGATTCTGGAGCATCAAGAGCCGACAGGCGACTGGGGAGGGATCTCACCACCGATGCATGCCGGTGTTCAAGCACTACTTCTGGAAGGATTTACTGAGAAAGACAGGGAAATACGAATTGCAATCAAAGCCGTCGAGAGATTTACATGGGAAGATGCTTCTGGCAAGCGCATGCAATCGTGCGTGTCCCCGGTGTGGGATACCGTCCTGATGACACGAGCGATGTGCGAGTCTGGGGTGGCCAACAAGGATGATAGTCGCCTACAGCGAGCAGCAAGCTGGATCGAGCGACAGCAGATCCGAAAGTGCAAAGGAGACTGGTCCCACTACAGGAGTCATTTACAGCCTGCTGGCTTTACCTTCCAGTATCACAACGACTGGTACCCTGACCTTGACGATACATCCGCTGCCGTCATCGGCCTTCTGCGCCAGAACCCAGCTTCCGTTACATCAGACACTGTAATCAAAGCAGTGGAGTGGATGTGCGGAATGCAGAATCGGGACAATGGATGGGGAGCCTTTGAAGCTGACAATGACCGTCTGTGGCTAAACGAGATCCCCTTCAGCGATCTTGATGCGCTCTGTGATCCGTCAACATCAGATATCACCGGTCACGTCCTTGAGGCTCTTGGGATGTTTTCTAAAGAGCTATTGAGAAGGGATACCAAGGATTATAAGCACTGGTGTGTTCTTGAGACAGTAACTGCGGCATCTAGCCGCGCAATACAATTCCTGGCTGTGCAGCAGGAAACTTTTGGCGCGTGGTGGGGCCGCTGGGGGATCAACTATGTGTACGGGACCAGTGCCGTCCTCTCTGCTTTGGCTTATTTCTGCGAAAGTGATGAAAGGGTTCAAGAAATGATGTCCGCAGGGGTGCGGTGGCTCAAGCACGTTCAGAATCCAGATGGTGGATGGGGGGAAGGCATTGAGTCCTACAAGGATCAACGACAAGCAGGAAGAGGCGTGTCAACCGCGGCTCAAACGGCATGGGGCATAATGGGACTTTTAGAGGTATGTAGTGTGGAGGATGATTCTATTGTGAAGGGAATAAGTTATCTTCTGAAAACCCAGACGTTGGTTTCTGAAAACGGAACTGGGGCATCTTGGGACACATCTCGGTATACCGCCACGGGATTCCCGAAGCATCTGTACTTGGAATATGCTCTCTATAAGCATTACTTTCCTTTGATGGCTATGGGAAGATATGCCAGGGCTCTTGAGAAGAAATACGTAGCAAACTTTGGGTAGTAGTATATGTAATAAAATTTACGATATACTAAGAGAATTTGATCCGAAAATAAGAACAGCGACCGAAGACGCCAGACCGGGCAGGAATGTAGGATAGATATCATATACAAAACTTAGCAAATATGAAAAAGTCAGACCAATGGGAATAACTTCCGGCAGGATCCGCTGTTGAAGAGCGAAAACCATACCCTCGGGAGCGCCAAGATATTTCTGTTAAATGCTAGAACATTTTTGGGATCCTTTAAACTTAACAATCCAGCCAGAAGTTATTGGATATTGACCGGCACGCAAGTGCGGAACAGCATTCCAGAAGCATGACTGCAATGCCGAGTCATTTAAATTGAGCATACTTCACCAAAGGGGGGACAGGCCGGAAACAGTAAAGAAATATGACTACACTTGAGTTTCGCTGGGTCTTGTGATAAAATGCCATGTACTTAATCTTAAATAAGTCCCCTTTTCCAACATTATACATCAGTCGTAAAGCCGTACATTGTATCTACTACACGTTTAAGTTGCAATATAAATCACAAAAATGGCAAACGAAAGTCATTATTCTCAATCTGGACCAGGCTCCGACGATTCAAAACATCGATGCATTGCAATACTTAGCGGAATAATATGCTTGGTTGCCATATTGTTCTTGCCAAGCTGGACGAAGCCTGATCCGCTAGCTGGGATACCAACTGTTGGGAGGGGAGGAAGCTTGATCCGCAAGATGCAATATTTCTGGGATGCTAAGGGGATGTATTTGGAGGGATATAAAAAGGTAAACCTTCATACACCGCACGTATTTCACTGCTAACGGGCCATACAAGTATAGGAATGGAGTTTTTCGGATCCCTGGTTCAGGTGGTATGCTTGTTTCCTATCGCCACAAGAGGATCTGGCAACTGATTCGCTGACAACTCTACTAGTAACGGATAATCTAGTCCTCGCCCCAAAGTTCCTCGAAGAATTGAAAAGGCTTCCTGAAGATGTCCTTGATGCCACTGAAGCTAATTTTGAGGTGTGTAATGGACAACTTTATCTGAATGGCTACTGATAAAGTGAGTTGAAGCGTTTGCAAGGTAGATATCTGACACCAGATAAAGACATGACGCATATGCCCGGTTATGTTCGATCGTGGATAACCCCAGCTCTAGGTAGGACGCCTACCAAATCTTGAGGTTTCGACAATACTAATTGAAGTTGATAGCACGGATGAGATCTGAAATCAAGGACGAGGTGGAGAATGCCTTGCTTAAAGAGATTCCTCAGTCTTCTGAATGGACTGAGATAAACCTTTGCCAAAAGACGCCTCGAATAATCGCTATGGTTACCGGAAGAATTATCGTTGGCCTTGATCTGTGCAGATCGGCCACATACATCGAAATCGCTACCGAGTTCACAAAGGAGGTCATGGCTACAGCAATTTCTATAACTCTCATCCCATTGTTCTTACGCCCTCTAATGGTGCCTATCTTGCCCCAGCTCTGGCTGACACGTCGTCGAATCGTCCAAGCGGAAGAGGTGCTTGGCCCAACCATCACATCACGATGGCTTCAACCTCAAAATCAAAACAGAACAGAACAAGTCGACATACTTCAGTTGATGATCGAGGCTTCTGAGAACTGCGGTAGGGGCAAAAAGGATTTAGTAGTTGAGCTTCTCTTTCTGAACATTGGCGCCGTTCATTCCACAGCGATGACAATCACCCACGCGTCTGTTCCTCCAACCTAATAAGATTTTGAAAAGGAGCTGACGCCGATGCATAGTCTGTATTGGCTTGCGGCTAAACCTGATCTTGTATCTATCCTGCGAACGGACGTATTACAAGCTCTAGCGACTAACGACGGCGAGTATTCCAAGTTGTCTCTGCAGCAAATGACCAAATTGGATAGCTTCCTCAAAGAAGTCCTGAGGTGTTCCAACATGGTTTCTGGTATGTCAATTCCTTCTTGGCCCAAGTCCTACCTATATGTTGAATTTCATGATTAGTTCCTAACTCTTTCTTTCTATAGCAACAATTCATCGCAAGGTGAGGAGGCCTTTCACTCTCTCCAACGGCCAGCTCATCCCCTCTGGTGTCACCATCGAGATTCCCTCGATCTGTGTAAATCATGATGCTGGAAATTTCTCAGACCCTGATGAATTTGATGCATTGCGTTTCTACAACATCGTTCAGCAATACCAAGATGAGAAGACGGGATCTTACGGTCCTATATCCAACACCGAGTTCTCTGCCGCAGAATCTCGAACATTGTTATTTGGATATGGGAGGCACGCATGCCCGGGACGGTTTCTGGCGTCCGCCGAAATCAAGATGATTCTAGGCAATATTCTAACTGAATATGAAATTAAGTTGCCAGCGGGGGTGATGAAAAGATACAAGGATCTATGCTTTGGTCCATATGTAGGTATTCTCTTCAACTCTTGAACAGGAAGTTAGTTGTTAGCTTGCTGACCCTCAATAATAGTCTTTCCCGAATCCTTTCAAAAAAATCTTGATACGGAAGTTGAAGCAGAGCTGAATTGTTGGGGAAATCTATTTTAAACGCAAAGTTTCGTGGTATCTTGATAAGCACGCACCCAACCCACCCTTTCCCTTGATCTTGTCACAAGGGATCCCTCTTAGACGTGCCGCATAATATACCAGAAAGCTGGCTAAAAGGCCTGATGATTTGAGAGGCAGACTTTCGACTAAGTGATCGGCGAGAATATGATGAATTTTAGATAATGTATCGGAAGCCCTTGTGCATCTTTCTAGCAGTATCAATACTGACGCCCTCAACGCCGGCGATCTTCTGGACCTTGGCAAGATCCTTTTCCGAAAGTGCAATGTTGGTATCCTCGATTCTAGCTAGCTCTTCGTTGCTCTTAACAAGAACAAAACGAAGGGCAACGGCCAGAATACTTGCTAGGACGGCCAATCCAATGTTCACCTCCATCGCAAGTTCATACTTGGGCCCGAAGTATATGAACGGGGTCCAAACGCTCGCCAAGCTGGCACAGCTGTTCACAATTGCTATGGCGGCCGCTCTTTTCGCTGGAGGCCGGGGAATAGACGATGATATCCACGCAAATGTCGTTGACCCCATGAGGTTTTGGCCTTGTACGAGGAATAGGCTGAAATACCTAGGTCCAACGCTGTTCGTCGTCAAAAGGAGAACGAAACTTACGATGATCAAAGGTGCGGGATAGATGAAGAACCAGAACCGTGTCTTCAGCTTGTCAGATAGCCACGCGTGTATCAAAATCCACACAATAGCAAATATGTGTGGTGGCGCGCAAAGGAGAAGCGTAGTGAAGTGGCTATACCCGAGCGTGGCAGTGATTGAGGGGAAATAGTTCAGTAATCCTCCACATGCAAGAACCAACATCTGGGCAACTGCGAAAAGGTAGGTCTTCACGTCTGTGAGGGCTAGTTTGAGACCCTTTATCTGTGCCCCGAAGCCTGCCTTGTCAACGTCGGCCTCGGTGGCCTCTGCAGCCAGACGACGTGTAGCAACCTCATACTCCTCCTGGGACAATGATTTCCAAGTCTCGGGGAAATCCGGGAGAACAAAGTACAGTGCTAGTCCGAGAGTCACTGTAATTGCGCCCTCGATAATGTAAAGCCATTGCCAGGGGGTTAGCCCGAGGGCGTGGCCGATCCCGCCGAGGATACCTGCAGCCAAGAGATGGCCAAAGGCTCCAGCAAATAGGTTCCCTGAAAAGAAAATCGCCATCCTAAATGCCAGCTCATCCCGAGTATACCATTTGGACAAGGCAAACATAACACCAGGGAAGAAAGGCGCCTCTTCAATATCACTTTGCGTCAGTGGACATTTATTTAGCACTGGCAGCATGGGAGAAACTCACCAACAAAACCAAGAACAAGTCGACAAGCTAGGAGACCCGAAAACCCACGAACTAAGGCCGTGAGTGCCGAAACGGTGCCCCAGGCGCAAGTGACTATCGCCATATGCATAGACGGCCGTCCAAACCAGGCAAGTGTCATGTTTGAAGGAACTTGCCCAATCATGTATCCAACATAGAACGCCGAGAGCCCTTTTTCTCAAAGGTTAGCGTCTGCCTTAATCAAGGCGTTTGCTCTGTAACCTTACCTGCTTGATATTCAGTCTCTGTCAAAGAAAGATCCTCCTCGAGACCCTGGAGCCTCGCAGACGCATAGTTCGTACGATCAACAAAGTTCATGATATAAACGACGAATACCACGGGTAGAATCCTGATATCAATCTTGCGCCTGAGTTTGTTTGCGACTAGTTGCTCTGCCGGCGTTAAAGGCGCAGTGGTCGCTTCATCTTGGCCCAGAGGATAGCTAGGTCGTCCCTTGAGGCTATTGTGCGTTGGAACATTTTGGATTGTGTCCTCGCTCATACGGCGATCCATGATTTCTGAAGCTTGAAAGAGAGAGTCTCTCCCCTCGTAAGCTTCTTGGCGTAGCTTGCTTTACGAAGAAGGGAAGCGGCGGTTTTGTCGGCCCCCAGTCAAATAAATAGGGCAAATTTAGATTCAGACATTGTGATAGAATAAAGAAATTCGCGGTGGCGGGGACGGCAAGTATATCAAGGGCAGGTTCTTAGCCGTTTGGGTCACGGTCTGATAATCCAACACCGTTGGTCTCATATCGACATCAGCAGTGGTACAATAATTGTATTTCCCACCAACTTACTACCTCTTTTCCTTGGTATCCAACACCGTGTAACGTCCCATGATGCAATTGATTATCGTGCACATCAAAATTACAATCCTTCACCAGTTGATCTCAGCGCTGCCGCATGGAGGAGTTATGATGCATATGACCATTATGGAATATCAGTGGCATGTACTGCTGCTTATAGAAAATTCACACTTATTAGACAATTACGAACAAACTTTCATGTATCAATGGATAAATAGAGAGATAAGAATCTGACCTGACCGGGCTGGTTGAGATCTGAGACATAAATTCATGGAGGTGGCTCGTTGGAATGCTGGTGAAACTCAGATACCAGGTTGTGAGGCCACTCGGGACGATCAGCGGGAATTTCCGACATTGATGAATCCCTAGTGAACGCTGAAGGGCGTAAGAGGCGCCAAAAAGGGGTCATAATGACACTTATCCCTGATAACTGTCTCGGCTGACACACGGCAACTTATGCAAAGTGGACGGCTCGGTTTGCTCAGGTCTCGCACTTTACATCGTAAACACCGGCATACTCAAATCGGCATAACACTACCACGAGGTATCATAAACCGAAATCCTGATTTCGGCGTCGCCCTGCTTTTGCCCAGTTTGCCACACCTCCGGTGATCTTTCAACTGAGACATTTGCACATCAACACCATAACATCACAATCATGCAATACCTAATATACTTGTTTATAATGGTCAAGGTGTTACGATAAATCAAGGCTTGACCAAGGAGAAGCCTGTTGTCTCAGAGGTAGCACAGAGTAGTCTCCTACATCTAGAGACTTTGCTCATTGGATACAAGGTTCGCGCAAAAGGCCAACTATAGTCAAAGGTGGAATCAAATCAACGCGATATTTAGCATCGTAAATTTTCTGTAGGTGTTGGCTCCTTGATACGATCTAGTGTTGAATATGGTTTATTATGCCAGGTCACTGCTGGGGCTTATTAGAACTTTGGCACCACGGGACAAACGCATAATCCAGGTCTTCTATCTCACCAGTCTTTATGTAGGTTATCAAACTTAAGAGCCCAGAAAACATGGGCAAGTCCTACGAAATACCGTTGATTTATGCTACATCATGTCGCCTATCATAAGAGAAAAAGACAATGGGATAAGCAGTGATAAGAATCAATTTGATAGAAGCAATTAATTATGACGCTTGAGAGTAGCCGGGTAATAATTTCCCTGGTAGGATTCTATGACGTTAGGCCTCAATTCCGTATATGTGCAACGGCCGGCGATTATCCCTGACTCAAATCTACAAAAGATGAGCAATTGTTGACGGATGATCGACGGCCTTCTCCTCATTGCTCTATTATGATCAATTAATCCATATTAACGTCTTCTTGAAATTGTAATTGCATCATCTGGTGCCCGGACTATCTCTCGCCCGATGCGGATTCGCCCTCCGATGCAACTGTATCCTATCCGCATCCCATCACTACTGGATAAGGAAGGTCTGATTGAATAGAGTGGATTTCGTACAGAGTGAACGTCATTTACTTTCTCGGATGTTCGGCGCTCATCAAAAAGATTCTGACACAATTGCTCGCTCCATTGCTGAGGGTAGACATTGTTTATTCCTACGTGAGGTGTCGACTGCATTCATAAAATGCACCTTGCTAAAATATAACCTTTGAACTGTTTATGTACATAGGATTGACTCTATTATTTTATCTAAAAAATCTAAAAAGAATTCACAGATATCGTGACTAAGTTGGCTTTCATGCCACTTCGGGCTCTCGGTACATTATCTTCATGAATTAATTGATCTGCCTTGGTTCATCAGTGGGGAAGCTTCTTAAACTCTTTAACCTTTACTTCCGCTCCAATCAATGGCACATCTCTGAATAAGGCTTTTTCCGGGGTTTGAGGCTGTTTCCACGGACATCAGGCCTCCATTTACCCGAAATATTGATGTGACAAGGTAGAACCTACAAAAGGCGGCTGTCTTGTTCAAATTCCAATGATAACAAAGCTTGATACGGTCATTCATTCTCGCTATGCGATGAATGTGTTAACACGATGAATCTCTTACAAGCCCTTCGAAAACTATCGTGGGGGTGCCTGCTCCTTCAGGCTTCGAATATCAACGTCGAGGCTCGCACCATCCCTCGGGAGGTCGACTCTCTCAGCCGCCAGCGCATTTCTTTGAATCAAGACTGGAAGTTCTGGCGCTCCGAGTCTATTCCTGATGGTCTCGCTTACGAGGACCGTCCAATCTGGAACGAAGGCGGCGAAACGCTTCTCAAGGACTGGGTTTTACCCTCGGTCAATGAATTCATTGCGGATGAAAGCAAGCATCATGAGATTCCTGACCAACAACCCAACACAAGCGTACCCTACAAGGATGCATCTTACGATGATAATGATTGGGAGTCAATAACACTCCCACATGACTGGGCTATTAAGGGGCCCTTCTACACAGATAAAGAAACGCCTATCGATGCAGGAATGGGTCGTCTTCCCACACAAGGCGTGGCCTGGTATCGCCGAAAGCTAACGGTCGATTCATTTGAGGAGAACGCCCGGTTTTACCTCGACATAGACGGTGCAATGTCGTACTCAACAGTCTGGATTAACGGAAAACTCGTTGGCGGGTGGCCTTATGGTTATACCTCGTATAGAACGGACATCACATCTCAAATCATCGCGGGCGAGGAAAATCAGATCGCCATCCGGGTTGAAAATCCTCCATCATCATCACGATGGTATTCCGGTGGTGGCATATACCGCAACGTTTGGTTGACTAAAACCAGCCCAGTCCATGTAGCTCACTGGGGCACCCAAATTACGACTGAAGTGTCAGAGGACCAGCAATCTGCGGCTGTCAATCTGACCGTACAAGTGGAAAACAAGGATGCGCGGGAGAGAAAGATCGATATCATTACTGATATCTACGAGTTTGATGCAGGCTCTGAGAAGCGAGGAAAGCCTGTAGCCTCTTTCGAAAAGACAACTGTTACGGTTCAATCAAATTCACGGGAATCAATTACAGTCAAGACTGAGGTTCTTCAGCCGAAGCTATGGGGGCCACCGCCGACGCAGTCTCCAAATTTGTACCTCGCCGTGACGAGACTGGTAGAGTCTGGGAAAGATATTGACTCTTACGACACAGAATTCGGCATTCGCACCATCATTGGAAACGGAGAGGGCCTTCTTGTCAATGGCGAGAGACTTCATCTTCGGGGTGTAGATCAACACCATGATCTTGGGGCTCTGGGAGCGGCTTTCAATTGGCGGGCTGCAGAGCGCCAGTTGGAAATTCTTCGTGATTTTGGCACAAATGCCGTGAGGATGTCTCACAATCCTCCCGCGCCGGAACTTTTGCAGCTTGCTGACAGGTTGGGCTTCCTGGTCATTGACGAGATATTTGACGCGTGGCTCCGTTCCAAGAAGAGCCTCGATTACCACCTTCTCTTCAATGACTGGCATGAGGCAGATCTCCGTGCTCTTCTTCGTAGAGATCGAAACCACCCATCTGTGATCATTTGGAGCGTCGGAAACGAGGTTGGCGAGCAGACCCACGACGACGAGTCAACCCCCATTCTGACCGAACTGGGCGAGATTGTTCGCGAGGAAGACGCGACCAGACCATTCACCATAGCCAAGAACAGTGCTAAACCGTATCATGCCGTCTCAAAACTTGTTGACGTTATCGCGCTGAACTATCAGGGAGAGGGTAGATACGACACACCTGCATATTCCCATCTTGGTTCTCCGATCTATCCGCAACACCCTGAGTTCCACAAGGCATTCCCTGAAAAGCTGCTACTCAGTGCTGAGTCTGCCTCCGCCATCAGCTCAAGAGATTCCTACTTGTTTCCCATAGTAGATGTCAATAGTTCTCCTACCAACGATTCTGCCGGAGCCGGAGGGAATTCATCTACTTTGGAAGTCAATGCCTATGAGCTATACTCAGTCGACTGGGGCTCATCCGCTGACAAGGTCTTCTCCGTCTTGGACAAATATGACTATGTCGCGGGGGAGTTCGTCTGGACAGGGTTTGACTACATTGGGGAACCTACGCCCTACGATTCAAAGCCGAACGGGGATACGGGATCTCGCAGTTCGTACTTTGGTATTGTGGATCTCGCTGGATTCAAGAAGGATCGTTTCTATCTCTACCAGGCTCATTGGAGACCAGAGAATGCCATGGCTCATATCCTCCCACACTGGAACTGGCCTGACCGGGAGGGCCTAGTTACCCCCGTCCATGTCTTCACCTCAGGTGACGAGGCTGAGCTATTCTTGAATAATGAATCCCTGGGCCGGAAAAAGAAGGGCGAATATGAGTATCGCATCCGATGGGATGACGTTGTCTACGCTCCAGGCGAGGTGAGGGTTGTTGCCTACAAAGACGGACAAGAGTGGGCTACAGAAACTGTACGAACTACAGGGCAAGCAACAAGTCTGAGACTCAGTGCCGACAGAAACTCATTTTCCGCTGATGGAAAGGACCTTTCGTTTGTTACAGTCGAAGTGGTGGATAAGAATGGGGATGTGGTCCGCGATGCTGATGTCACTGTGAAGTTTGGAATCTCAGGCTCTGGGGAAATTTTGGCAACCGACAATGGATGGCAATCAGACTATGTCGCTTTTCCCTCAAAGGAACGAAAGGTGGTTGGTGGGTTGGCACTGGCAATAGTCGGTGGAACCGCAGGCTCACCAGGGGCTATCGAGGTGACAGCCACTGCCGATGGGTTATCAGAAGCGAAACTTCAGTTGAGTACTCAGTAGGTCTACAGAATCAAACTTTGTGTCTACTCTGTAAACAACCTCTTGGGAAAGGATCACGATTGCAGAGTATATGGTTGCTTCGCAGCTTACGATGAACCCTATTCTCATATAGTCCTCTCTAGTCGCAGCTGACATTTAATAATTCAGAACACTCAAGCGTAATCTTCACGATATATGGAGCGATTTCAATTTATTAACAGAGTATAACGTATGATGTCTTAATATAACTTAATCTTATCCAGTGTCTTAACATTATCAAGCGCCTCGCCATCCATAATCCCATGCAAATACACCTCCCCAAGGAGCCTCAACTTTCGATCTGTCCCCTCGCGCATAGCGTAGGGAACAGGCGCCCCCTCAAGCACATAGATCCGGTCACCAGGCTTCATCTGGTGCGGGCCAATTCCAATCCGACCCGTAGATGTTCTAAATGGGCACCTGTGTTTGGCAATGTCTTGTAACTGGTCCATATAGTCATCCACGCCGAATAAAGTGAGGCTTGCGGTATCTTCGGATAACTTTGATCTCTCCAGTGCTTCTTGAACTTTCGCTACCATCGAATCACTCAATCTAGGCTTAATGGCTGCGCGCCACCCCTCTTGATCAGCAACTGCCGTGTGTAGAACGGCCTGTAAGCATGCACGAGGGAGAGGCTCGAGAGAGTTCGCACCATCAGGGAACGAAAACTGCCTAAGCTCCTCAAGCCACCGACGTGAATGTCCCGCCTTCCATTGCGTTCCCATATGATCTACGACATCGATCAGTTTTGCATGAAGTACGAGGTGTGAACCTGAAGACCTAGGCGGTGGACAGCTCTTGCTTCCTAGCTTTCTTTTCCCTGAAGCTGAGAACGTTGGTCGCAGACTGGTCTTGACAGGGGAGCTATTCCGATCCAAAACTCTCTGCTGCAAAGGAACCCGGGCTCGCAACCTAGTAAAATCCGGTGTCCACGATGGGTATCCCGGGATCCTTATGTCAGGGTCGCAAAGTGAGAGCACATCAAAGAATCCATTCGTTATGAGACCAACAATGACGTCGCAGTATAATTCCTCATAGGACTTGTCCCGGAAGTCAGAGGAAAGCCCCAAAATATCAGCATCCGAAGCGAATCCCAGAAGTGCTAGCAGTCGGTCGCGCGGATCACTGGCTTTGAAGAACCGGAATGTCCGGAGAAGATAGATGAGAGGAAGGGGCTCGGTAGCTCTCTGAACCTTCAAGAGACTGGTGGCATTTCGTGTATTGGTTGGAAATCCTATGGACTTGACTGTGGCTTGCTGTACATAGCAACCCTGCCTTAGTTTTTGGAACTGCCTCAGATTTCTCATGAGTCTAAGCGCATGATGGAGGGCATCCACAGACACAGACTTATCACCACAAGCAAACCGAACAGACTTTGCATGGGCCATCTCCTGAACAGCCCAAACACGGTTCCAGTAGGGCCGGTCAAATAGCTTCGCTAGAGATACCCTGATGCTTTCTGCCTGGCCGGAATCCAATGCTACCTCGTTGGAGATCTCTTTCAAAAATGTCTTCAGGCGGCTGTTCTCAGGCAATTTACCCGGGCTCACTCTGAGTGACTGCAAGAGTGAGGGCAGCATAAGATCAGGCTTGGTACCGATCCCAAGGCTATCAGCTAACGACCCGTAATACTGGATCCAACCCAGAGCGATATCACTATTATCTCGAGGCGGACCCAGCCAAGCCGTGACAGATGTAGCACGGCTATAAATCTGTCGCATCTTGCGCAGCTGTTGCGGACGTTCGCCTTCACTGTTCTGGTCGATGCAAATCGCGTCTACCCAAAGAACGAGGGGTTGACCCTGTGGGGTGAGATGATAGAGAGCACTTTCTAAATTTTCTGTCGCCAAGAATGGCATTCCATTGACCATAATGGTGCTTTTTCGATCTGAGGTCCCCCATGTATATGACAAGGCAGCATATGGCGGTGGCTCTTCCAACTTGGCGACGGAGAGGGTGCAATGCACTCGTGCCGGTGGCGACGCAAGAGCACCGCTACTCCCAGGGCCCTCACAACTTTTCGGATGCTCATTTTTAGGTAGAAGATGTACCAACCGAATGCTCCCTTCCTGATCTCCAGGCAAAGGTATGTATTGGAAGGACATATTGTTGAAAATATCGAGGCACAATAGGTGATGTGAGTCATCCACACAAGCGCCATCTGCCTCAGAACAACGGACCATATGTTTATATAGATTAGAGTCCTCGAACTCTTACTTGCTGAGCTCCATTGGGTAAGGCTATGAAGAAATATGAGCCGTGACTGGCTAGAAAGTAACCATAGGACGACGCATTGGAGCCCAACGGCCCATTTTACGGCACCGGACCATCAACTATTTGTACCACGTAGCTGTCTCCAACAGGCCAATTTGTTGTCTCTAGTAGAAAGATGCTCATTTTTGTAGACTGTACAGAGCAGCCCCCACCAAGTACTGGCTTCCTGTGATGAGGGTATGCACCTCTTCAGATTTAGCACCGATCTGCCTGGCAACATCCAATGCTGTTGGAACATCGGCTTCGTAATGCACCTTCGTCGTACCATGGATCTTCTTCCAGATCTCACCAAACGCCTGGCTCTTGTCACTGTGACCAGGCTTTAAGACGGGGGCTGCAGATGAATGATTAGCAAAGGGTCTAGTCTGGAAAACGTTTATTGGCCTACCTGATCCAAAATCAAGATCCTGATCTGGTGAGTAGGTCGTGAAGATGACGTGGTCAATTGCTACGTCGCGAAGTGCAGTGGCAAGCTGATCTAGAACTTCGGTGGCATTTCTCGCCTCCGATGCCTGGCTAAAGATGAGTACACGGGTGGAGGGCCTGCCAAGTGTTAACTGCGGAATGGCTGAAGCCTGTCACGTCTGGGAGGGTGCCTACTTGGAGCCCTTTGAGCCTTGAATATACCACTCTGCTGCTTTATCAACACTCATCTCGTTATGTGCGCCGTCTAAGTACCAACGGTAGGGCCCCTGTTGAATATACTGGAAACGCCCAGGCCAAGAGAACTGATCAATGGCACTCTTAATATCAGCGGCGCCCAGTGGTAGAGTATTCTTGCGGGCCCTAGCTTCCAAAAACCGGCGAGCAGCTACTAAAGCCACGGAGCTGTTTGTTCGCTGCACATCTAGCCGCAACTGCACGGCTTCTGAAGGGAGTTCCAGACTTGAAGCTGCAAAATATACATCAACCCCCTTTTCCAACGCCCGCTCTCGAATAACATCTACAGCCGTAGGCTCCTGCGGGGCCGAAATCAGCGGGGCACCACGCTTCATGATACCAGCTTTGTGCCATGCAATATTGCCAAGTGTTGGCCCCAGTTGTTTAACATGGTCCATTCCAAGGGTAGTGATGGCTGTTACAACAGGGTTGTGTATAAAGTTTGTAGCGTCATATTCACCTCCGTGGTGCGTTTCGATGATGGCAGCCTCCACCCCTTCTCTGATAAAGACGTGGAATGCCATGAGTGCAAAGAGCTGAAGGGTGCGAGGGATGTTAGCACGCGCATCCGATGAAAGTGCATTCCATACTTCGAAAAAGTATTTTGCAAAAAGATCTCGCGCAAGTGGTTGGAAGTTGATGCGAATACGCTCTTCAGGGAACATCAAATGAGGGGAAGTGTAGAGTCCTGTTTTCTTAGGAAAACCTGTTCTTTGCCCAAAGGTTCGTAGAAATGACTCGGTGAATGCACAAGTGCTTCCTTTTCCTTTTGTCCCTGCCACATGAATTATGTTGAGCTTGTCGATGTCTGTCGGCTACGAGCAGTTAGCAGATGTACATTTCTCTGTGCATGCGGTCTAAGTGTGCTACCGCGGCTATTTATGAAGCATACCGAGTGGCCGATCTTCAATAACCAATTTTCCATCCCAACAATGCTCGGGGTGCCCTTTAAGCCGGGCGTTGGAGGTGTATTCGTGGCATGCTGAGCATCGTCTCCTTTGGTCTTCAAATTGGCGTCTGGGCGTTGTGAACGGCGACGGCTATTGAGCAATTCAATCGCGCTCTAGAAGAGCTTAGCAAATCTCCCACCGCGAGTGGAAGACTGTAAAATACCTTGTAGCTTCTATCAATCTGCCTAAACGATTTGGACACCCTCATGGTGCAGTGTCAAATTTATTCAGAACTGATGATTGATGTCAAGAGAATAAGGGCCAAAGGCCCACGGAATTCAGGTGATGAGTATTGTCACGTGTTTGGTCACGTGAGTCATTCTCGAGCCAACTTACTTGAAGCACCTACATGCCTGAGTGAAAAACCAAGCAGGAAGTAAACTCTACTCTGGGCTTATAAGTTGGGATTAGCAATTTAAATACACAAATAGACCTTCCTCTCTTAATAGCTATAATGGACCACAGTTTGCTTATTTACCCTGTATTAACAAGACGACGTGTGATTTATTCTTCAATAAAATTTTGGGAGGATTTATTATATTACAGAACATGTCAGTCTCTTGAAAAGAATCTGGGTAAAGCCTATTTTAGATCATCAGAGGGATTTTCCAGGAATCTACGTTTCCTACAGTTAAAGTCTATAAGAAGTCCGCATTCTTTAGCCCACATCATACTAGATGCAGTTCGAAGTTTTCATCACTCAACGGTCAATAAAATCAAAATGGTAGGTTAGATATGGCATTTATTTACTATGAAGAAAATACGGTTACATGGCATGTCGTCTTGAAAGTACTGCAAAGTGGAGTGCAGCCTTGCGGAAACCCTTCAAGACTTCTTCCATGCCTGTTCGATCATATCCTTGGCCTTGATCGTCTTGATTTCGGGAAATTTATCGTTCAAAGTTGTTGGAACATTCTCCAAGTCGAATGCGCCTTCTTCGAACCACAGCCCAAGAATTGGCATGACCATATCAAAGACTTGCTTCGGCATAAAGTCGTATGCTGCAATCTGACCCGGAAGAGCTGTGATAACTCCAGACTTGAGATCCTCGACGCTATCATGAACAACTGTAAACTTGCGTCCTAGAAGTATTTATTAGAATCGCTTTCAATGAAACGGAATATGAGATACTGATTTAGGCTTACCCTTGGCTTTCTCGGCGAAGGCGAGAAGCTCGTTGCTTGTAACAGTATCGCCAATGATGTAATGGATTGGATCCCATTTTTCCAAATCCAGACTCGCGACGATAAACTTGGCTACATCGGTGCTGTGAGCCATAGTAACACGTCCGTTGCCGCTGCCTGGGATGGCAGCATAATCATTCTCAATGTCAATGAAGGTGGCCATGGGGGCAAAGTGGGATTTGAATCCTGGAACGCCCCAGTAGTCCATGAAATGGCCCATCATGATGCGGGTTGATTCGAGGTTTTTGGAAGCCTCCAGTTCAGCTTCAGCCGCCTTTTTAAAAGGGGTGGCCGGGAATCCAGCAGCGACATGTCTGTATAGAATGAGTTAGAAAAGGTCTCGCCGTCAGGATCGAAAGGACGTACTCAGGCTTGAGATCGAAAGAAAAATCGCTGGAGATCATTCTCTTGGTTGTCTTGGAAGCATTCGCGGCGCGAATAATCTCGACTTCCTTGGGAAGATCCCCTGTAAAACTAGGCATCATGAAGATAGTGGATACGACTGTATCCACGTTGTTATCTTCAAGAGCTTTCGTAACAGCTGGGACGTTGTTGTAATCAACCGCAATAATTGGAACTCCAAGTTCCTTTTCGAGAGTAGGGTTTTCCTATCGAGGAATTAGACTTCATTTTGTGAACATGAAAGGTCTTGCTCATACTAACCTTCCGACTCAAAATGATTGTCTTGTGTTTTCCGGAAGCGATAAGAGAATCAACGACGGCGCGACCCATCTGTCCAGTTCCTCCGGCAACAGCAATAATGGCCATTTTGAATCTATTTGAGTGATGGCGAATTGAGAATTGTTTGAAAGTGGTGGATGAACGTGTGGATGGAATATCGTATATATGGCTTGGTGGATCAACTTATAAAGTTGCGACAGATGAGAAGATGAAGTCAGATAGAAACAATGTAGGAGTTTTGACCCTGATGGTACAATTTTGACTGACAGGTGCGCTTTCTGACCCTTTTATAGATAATATTTGGCTATTCGGATGATCAGACGTTCCTTTGTATTCTACTTCTTCATGCCTATATTCCGAGTTCGTCACCTTGACTACATAAGCGAGGGTTGACCAAGCCTCCAATCACACCCATGTCGTAAGTTTCATCGTATACTTCATCGTAAATTAGTTTGCATCGTTGATTGGCTAGAATTCACACAAGGTTTCCTGCTTCCTAGAGCGGAACAGTCGCTGATCAGTAAGCCGTCAGCTCTTTGAACCGGGTTGATTCTCCATCAACTCCGCCTAAAAATTCCATCATGATTGGCCAGATGCAACCGTCGTAAATTCGGGCTCTCGGCTTATTTCCTTGGTAATCAATTTCCCCACTTCGCCTTTTCGCCTCATCACCGTGATTATTGCGAGGCCAAGCCACGATGCCGATGACGAGTTTCGTCTTCAACGTTCTTGTGGTGGAGCCAGATGTCTGATTCCTGCCTGTGTATTGTCAGACATAACTCAAGTTCATTCTCTTTCTACGCATTCGCATATGGCTCCCCGACCGATACAGCCGAAGCTTGCCCAGGGTTCAATCCCTACACTACAAGGAAAACAGGCTAGCGCCCTCCAGAAGCTCTCGAGGGCCGGGGCACCCAAAGTCCGAACAGGCTGTGTGACTTGTGAGTTTTCTCTTGCAGAAGTTTTGATGTTCTGATTGCTGACCTTGTTTTGTTCTCAGGCAAGTAAGCAGACTCTCACTGTGCTGTTATGCCATAGCTAATAACCAAGAAAACGGCATATCAAATGCGATGAAACGAAGCCTGCATGCCGAAACTGTTTGTCTTTGAGCGGAGAATGCGGTGGTTATTGGATAAGGCCTCGTAAAGTTCGTGCGCGAAGACACAAGCACCCCAATCTCCCGATAATCCATGGCCCATGTGGATCTCGTTCCCTCAAGGAGCCGAGGCTTGGCCTAGAGTTTAAAGATCAGTTTCAGCAGGTTTATTTCGATGAATGGATGTACCTCTCCCGGGACCGCCTCTACGGCTATAGTTCAAACAAGCTTTGGTCAACTTTCCTGCCTCAGCTGACGGCCCAAAACACAACCCTCCGCGATGCCGCTCTGGCGATTGGAGCTATGAGCCATGCTCAGTTGACGCAGTCTAAACCTGATAGTCTTCATTACCAGCACGCGGTTACTTATTATTGTCGGGCATTGCGATCAGTTAGCCGCTCGAATCAAGGTTCTAGAAGCTTACAAGAAGCGATCCTCCTCTCGATACTATTTACCAGCTTCGAGGGGGTTCGTCAAGACATAAAATCTGCGCTGAGGCACGTCTCACATGGTCTATTAATCATAAGAGAGCTTTGCTTAGGTCCCGAAGCTTCGTCGAAGATGGCTCAGCTTGCTCCAAGTCCTGGTGAACTTATTCATGAAGTTATACTCTTGTATACCCGCTTCATCGTGCAAGCACAAACTGTGATGAGCGGGACAATCCAGGAGCGGAATCTCCATTCCCGTATCATTGAGGCAGAATCAAATTCAGAGATGGACGAAAGGGAACAGCTTTGCGCAGGATTGACTCCGTACATGGCTCCCCGAGCTGGGTTGGCCTGGCAGCCAAAGCTTTTCCATGATGCCGATACGGCCGCCGAATATTGGAATGCAACTGTCCGTCGAATTGAGATACTGGACCCAAGCGCCGTGCAGCTCATTGATAATCTACTAGCTCAAGATCCTAGAGACTACTTGAGTGCCGAAAATCACCTTCAGCGTCTTCGAAATTCAGCAGAGCTTCATGCTTTCACGAACAAAGTGAAAACTCATTTACAGATTTGGCACCGCGCATTCTGGCCCCTCTATCAACAAACTCTGACCCATTCCCCGGGAGAATCTCCTTCATATTTCTGTCTAATCAACCTTCGCATTGAATACTTGACCATGTCGATATACAGCATGTTCTCTGCAGCCTGTGACTATGAGTACGTGTTGTCGATCACTCCAGAGTGTCGAGAGCTCCTAGAGCTATGCGAGATTCTCCTCCAAAAACGAGTAGCCAACGCAAAACGCTTTTCCACAACGTTTTCCATGCATACCGGGCTGTCATGGCATTTGGTTTTCGTCGCTATAAACTGCCGCGACCCCATCGCTAGAGAGACTGCAATCCGAATCTTGGAAACATATCCTCGACAGGATGGACTTTGGAGCAGCCAGGCTCTCGTTGAGATTGCAAAGAAGAACCGAAGGATTGAGGCGGAGAATTTCAATGAAGGGACGCCTCAAGAACAGTGGCAGCGGCTCAATCGAAGGGTGTTTCTCCTAGAGGATGCAGGGGAGACCCTCGTATTCCGATATATACGCAAGAATGGTGACACAGGGAAATGGGAGTTCTCCGAGGAGTATGCGCATCTACGAAGCTCCCCTCGTGAGGCTGCGGCCTTGGAATGGAAAGACAGACCACTAAGCTGTGAAGGGTGCACTCTACAATGGGGCAGAACAGCTGATGCTTCGTCCGGGACACTATGGCCTGGAATGGGCTGTTCGATTCCCCGTATTGCGGCAGGTTAAATGGGTAGACATTCAGAGAGCAGAAAATGTTCTATCTATTCTGCGTGTGGAATAAATATCCCTGCCACTCCTCCAATGTTTCCATGTCGTATAGATCACAAATAGTCGTTGTATGGCAATAGGTCATGTCTCTCTGATTCGCTGATCTAGCTGCAAAAGCACTAACTTTTCCTCTTCATCTATATAACAAAACACAGAAATTCTAGTTGGCCCAAAGTCGAACGGCCTTGTCCTTTCCACCGCTTCCTACCCGTTGTCCGTCAACGCTCCAATCCACAGCATAGACTTCATCCTCATGCCCTGGCAAATCTCTTGCCAGTTGGAACGTTCTCAAATTCCACACTTTGAGCGTCGTGTCTTTGGACGCTGTCACAAGGAGGCGTGAGTCGGCGGAGAAGGCACACAAGTAAATGGGGGCAACGTGGCCTCGTAGAGTAGCGATAAAAGCACCGTCCCTGGATTGAGTTAGCGCTCTGGATCAGTTATATGCTTGATTGCTGGAAATGAGCTCTGCTTACTTTGGATTCCATAATTTGGTGTGATTGTCCCAACTGACACTGGCAATCAGTCGTCCATCGGGAGAGAAGGCCACGTGGTTGACCATCTTTTGGTGCCCAAGCATGCGAGTAATGGGCTTATCCTTGGACTGGACTGGATCCCACAGATACATGGTGAAATCGTCACTAGCGGAAACCATTGTTTCAACCAGAGTCCCCTTCACATTGGCAACCTTCTCGAAGCGTTCCTTTGCCTTCTGCTTCTTCTCCTCGAGCGTGGCAGGGACTTGAGTCCCAGGCTCAAAATAACCTGTCCGAAGTACGTAATCGGTTGAGAGCGCCAAACTGTTGACCCAGTGGGCATGACCCTTGAGGTTATGCAATAGCACACCCTTCACAGGATCCCAGATGCGGAGAGTCTTGTCATGACTGGCTGTGATGATCGTCCCCTTTTCACCGCCTGTGCCTCCCCATTTGACACAGCTGATGGCAGCTGTGTGGCCACTGAGGATGTGCTCTGTCTGACCCGTGTTTACGTTCCATATCCTGCACGTGGTGTCTTTTCCGGCAGTAGCAAGGAAAGGTGTGTTGTCGGACCAAAGGTGATATGGCTGCCACGCGAGGGCTCTGATATCCTTGAGGTGGCCTTTGAGGACCTTGTTCACTGACTCTCCTGTCCGAGGGTTCCAAAGTCTGGCAGTTTGGTCTATGATGGATTAGTATATCAAGTCAATCAATGTCGGTAGTGTGATGCTGCATCGTTACTCACCCATGCTACATGTGGCAAGCAACTCTCCGTCTGGGCTCCAAGATACCACAATAACGGCGCCCGTGTGTCCCTTCAACGTGAACTTCGGTGTACCAGTCACAGTATCCCAGATTCGAGCTGTCTGATCTCCGCTTCCGGTTGCGAGAAGACCACTCGTAGCAGGAGAAAATTGGGCACACAGAATAGGCTGCCCATGGCCGGGAATTCGGTGGGACAACCTCGACACGGCGTTGACTTTGAAAACGGCCTGTGGCTCTGCGACAAAGCTCAGGATTGCTTCCGCGGGACTCGTTAAACCGTGCGCCTTCAGGAGTTCAGGGAGCTCTGCTGGGCTGGCTGGGAGTGAATTGATGACCTTGTTCGACTCGGAGATGAGAATTTTGAATCTGTATGGCACGGCATCCTCCTTGTCGTTTTGCAGGAGTGTGTTCAGCAGCTGTGACATATTCTTCTCCGTTGCGTCTGCGAAGTTGACTTCCACCACATCAGCCAGTTGCTGGCCGTCGCCATCAATGAATCGGGTTCTGAAAGAACCCTGGACCTGCGCGCTCGGGTCATCCTGGTGCTGAACTTTTGTGCGCTCAAGCACTTCTCTTCGCTGCCTCTTCGAGGGTGGGGGTACAACGGTCGCCATCGTCACTCTACTTTTTAGGATTGATTTTCGAAATGCTCCCTATCCACTACCAAATTGCAGGTGCTCAAACGGACGTGGTTGAGTGCGTAGGCCTGAAACTCGATGAGGAGAGGCATCAAGGAATTTTTGTTATCGCTCTCTTATCGGATCCTATCTTATCAGGGCTTGCTGACTAAAGCACCCCACATCTGGTCGGCAAGTGGGTGCCATTGAAATTGAGACACTCAAACAATAATCTGCTTATTCTCAAGTCTGCGATCGTGGTATTATCAAATTATTGAGTACCAATAATATTTGCTTGAGAGACAATACGGCATATATTGTTACTTTATTTTATTTGATACTACTGAATTTCTTGATTATCTCAGAAAGTAGAACCATTGAGTGTTCTCATTTCTGCTGTCACCCACTTGGTCGGATACCTACCCTTGCTACCCTACACTCACAGGGACGCGACGACGGATCATCGCGCATCATCGTCATACGAGGTAAATTATTTGTGTTATATTCATTATGCTAAGATGTCGGGTCTGGCATATTCATTGCTATTCTTAAATTTGCATTTGAACCCTCTGGTTGGACTGATTTAAATATGAGGTTGAACTTAGTGTGTCTACTACTGTACTTAACCTCAATTCTTTCATAGCAATGGCTGACAAGATGTGCCCAATCTCTGCCTCACTTTGGCCTTCGTCCTCACTTTCGCTTTTCTACTTGGCCACTCCAATTTCCGTCTCCGGTTCTGGCTCCCTGTACACAAATCGTTCCAGCGGAATCTGGTCACCTGAAACATCATCGTCATCCAGCTTTTCACACCCTGTCCCATGAAAGATGAGACCAGGATGCCCAATACAAAGTAGTAGTGACGACGCATAAACCAAACTGATGACGGTTAGCACTGTTTATAAATGAATTCAAGAACAAGGTATGACTTACCCCCCCTCCAATGCAATGAATAGGCTCTCGTTAGTGATCAGCTCAGAGTCCGTATAGCCTTCCTTCAGCTCATAGCAGCGATACGCACACCGCGCCAAGATCAACACGGTTGCCAAAGCGAGGCAGATGAAAAACGATGTCTCTGTCGTTGTAAACCTTTGCGTGACCTGTGACCGAAGATATCGCGCCATGTAGTCGCCAAAAAGCGCAATGAATACGACAAGGACAGTGACCTGAAGAATGAGCCCTACCATTGCGATATCAATTCCCCTCTGGCTAACACCTCGACTCACAGTCGACACTGCACCGCCGGCTGCTTGCAAAACAAGGCAGATAATGTCAGCAGGGATGAAGAAATAATAGAATAGCTTGGGTCTGATCCGTGATAGTGCTGCCGAAAAGTGTTCGATCCTACAAATGATCCAATAATTTATGGTTAGTTCCCGCTCAAGATTGGTCGATGAACAAAGGAGTACTTGCGTTTTAGACAGGGTAACATAAATGGCAGCGGTAAAAAAGACAGGAGCTCCAGTGATGAAGATGATTTGGATCAAGAAGCCGGGGAAAGAAAACGGATTCTTGTAGAGCATGATTCGACCACCATATCCGATCATCTCGAATACGCAACCGGAGATCATGAAAGCCATGAACCACCAGCTCCGCCAACGGATACCGAGATAAATATGTATGACCATAGCCAGACCGAAGAGGGTGAGAAAACCGGCGTTGATAGAGAGCGACGGCCGGTATTTGTAGACGCTCCAGTCAAGGGGGCATATTTCGAGCGTGCAATTTGAACCTGGGCCGAACACAACGATTTTTGACAGCTGTGATGCCATGTAGTTCATCATCAGGCTCTCCTCGAGGGAGGTTGAAGATAGATTATTGGAGGGTAGGCCATCCATTGCTTCGCCGTGTGTACGAATACTTGGGAAAATCACGTCGCCCTAGAGTATGGATCTAAGTCTTTCTCTTTTCCACACCTCAATCTCGATTGCGAGATCATAGCTGCGGGGTTGCTTTATACAACGACATGGCCCATAACCATATTCGTCCCCACGGTTGAATTCAGGCCCCCGCACCGTAATTCCTTTATTCTATGCCAAATTAAACATCAAGCGATTCGTTAAGCGTGTAGGCGCTCAATATTGGGTTCATCCTCACTACAAGCACTGGTCGTATTCAGTCCAAGACCCACAAGGCTCGCATTCGTCTGGGAGTACAGAGGTAACTTAACATTCTGTCCACTATTTAATGAAGTTTAATTGGGATACATTGAATCTTTGTTCAAGATTTTTATTCTTTGAATTAAACGAATGATTCAATGAGAGGCCGAGGCATCTAATGTGTCAATATGGCCGGCGTAGCCTTTTGGCGGGTTAAAGAATTGAAGCCTCATCTGGACACAAACACATCTGAGTGACACAGATTGGCGCTTCTTATGCTTCTGGGTGCCCCCATAAATTAGAGTATGTAAAGATACATAAAATAGTATAATTGACGCCAGCCTAGAATATATGCCTCATTGTCATATTCCCGCTTGTAGCTGTGTAGATCTACAAGACATCTACTTATCGAACGTGACCAAGTCCTGATATGGCCACCTTTGCATATGCACGGAAATACCTCATATGAGCTTGATGTACTATTAGAATCTGTCCCGGGGGGGCTCCGCGAGTCCCGCCTTAGAAACAAAGTAAATTGGGTACGAGGGATTGGAAAAGTTCAATTTAGAGTCTGTCAATGGCAGCCTACACGGACTGAAGATTGAGCTGAATAAATACCGTGGGCAAATCTTCCTGGTCGGCATCACCTTCACTCCTTCGTGGAATGTTCTCAAGCTTGGACGGTACATTCCCGAGCACGTCTGGAGTTTTGCCCATAACTTTTGATGTATGCGTTCGATCAACGAACCGCCGTGCTTCCTCCTCTGTCTTGAACTTTTTGTGACAATGCCCCGAAAAACCATTGATTTGTTCACTCGCTTCGCTTTGAATTTCTTAGTGGCTCGTCTTGGCTCTCGTTCATGAAAAGTTATGACTTACGCCCAAGATGTGAAAATACCAGTTTGACGGCCCTTATAAACAGCGTAAAATACCTTCGTGCTGGCTTCAAGGGGCTTGTCCTCCGTGGATCCGGTCTTGGTCTTTCCGGCGTCTTCGGCGATGGCGGTGCGGCGTAGACTGTAAATGTAATCTTCCGCCTCGACCTCAGAAAAGAACCCCTTGTACTCTCCTCCGGAAAAGTTTTCTATCCGTATTTTGGCATCTTCCCTATAATTGTCAAGTTCAGCATGGTGATTAAACGTGCTTGAAACTGTTAAAATGGCCTACCAAGACTTGAATATTGTTGGCTTGGAAATATCTCTCCCTTTCACGACGACGTAGTGGCTCTTTCTGCCCTTCCGTCTGGAGGAGCTTGTGTGAGTGGAAGACATCGGAAGAGATTCGTGGCTGGACTGGCGGAAGGTCAATAATTTACTAGGAAAAGCTTAACAATGCATTGAGTTTCTTAAGAATTTGAAGATTAGCAGATGTAGACAGGGTGTCGTCAAGTACTTATGGTTTTACTTTGAAAATTCTGCCAGTGCGATCCTTTTAAGTTCAGTGCCCAGAGCATATGATGAGAGGGAGTGTGGAACTACCAATGCCACGATGCTATCATCTCTAGCCCAATCCAGTAAATTGTGTAATCTTGTATCTGAAAAGCTGCTGAATATGTATGTTTGGCTAGCACATTAGTTTTGTGATTGGATACTGCATCAAAGGGCTGCTCCAGTCATCTCTCGCCATTTTGTGGGGGGATGGCTGGCCTCCCGCATGATGTCTGACACGTTTACCATCTAGGAGGGCTTATTAGGCAGCATTGTTCTATATTGCACGATCATTGGAGATGGACTTACGCGGAGGGGCTTTCAATAGGCCTAATGATCACGTTTCCCTCCTAATAGCCTACAAGACATGTGAGTTGGGGTGTATGCAAACCAGGCTTATCTGGCTAGGGGCACAGCCAGTGATAAATATAATCGATTGTAATCATATCAAGCGTGATATTGTGTACATAACTTTTGCGATGGCCAAATGCGCGATGATCTGACCTGGCAATGATAAATTAACAAAGCACAGATACCGGGGTAATGCAAGGTATTCAGGGAGACTCCTATTGAGCTGCTCCAATATTCTTATCATATTACGGAAATGTCTTATGTGAGAGCTCGACTTGAGATCTCTTCCCAATGTGGACTCTCGGGCAATGGTGGACTGTTATGCTGAACCTGCCAATTACCCCCTCCATTTACACCGCATGGTTCGATCGACTAGTGCTAGGCAATGCTTCTTGACAGTGTAGATGGCATTGCTAGCACTCATAGTTTACCAGTCTCGTACTGCGGTTTCACCAAAGCAGTTCCGTCTGAGAGACATGGACGGTCGCTTCCAACCACCTTTGCGAACCATCTGATTTGATCCCACCCTTCCGAGTTCCTCCCAATATTCCAGACCTCAATATCTATATCGTTACCTGGCTTCACAGGCCCCGAAAACCTTGCGGATAGTTGTCGGAGGCTGAGTGGATCGGATTTCCCTAGGCGCCGCACGAATTCGTGCGCAATAACATTGTAGGCGAAGACCCCGTGGTTAATGAGCCCCCCGTAACCCATTTGCGTTCCAGGCTCTGGCGTAGCATGCAGAGGATTATAGTCTCCATTAAGTCTAGACAAAGGAATTAGCTGGAGAGGCTTCAGACTCCGTCGGTTGATATGATCACCTACCTGTATAAATGTGAACTCTGAGCATCGATGTGGACTTGAAACGACAAATCAGCCGTTTTCGCTTCTGGTGGCGGATATCTTTGAGCAGGAGGTCCTCTTGGTCCGCCCCAATTACCCTGCCCTACATAGAACTCGCTGCCCACATTGCGAGTATAGACCTCGTCCGAAGCAGCATCAACGAGGAGGTGCTCAGTCCGGACCACTGTGCCTGCTTTGCCCTTGTCGAAGACACCAACGATCTGGGATCGAAATTCGAACTGTCTACCTTCGGAGGTGACGGGCAAGAGTTTGAGCATCTCGATAGTGCGATCTCCATCAACGAGGCGTACCGGGTCCAGCTCTGGGACACCGGGTATCTTGACGGCCCCTTGTGCAGCATAGAAGTCCGTGACTTCTTGATTGTCGAGCTTGAATACTGGAATGCAGGTCAGCAACAATGTTTTTCAGTCTCACGGCCTAACCAAGAAGAACAGTATGCAGGCAACTCACCTAAGCCGAGGGGGAAAGTCGGGAAGGTGGAAAAGTTAGGGTGGCGTTCCTATTTAGAGTGTAACTGCTTAGTATATGTGATGATTACAAAATCGTTTGGGTCCGACCTGTCAGTGGTATACGTACGTAGAGAAAATGAAGCTCATCTGCTTTGCATCCAATACTAATGTTGAAGAGCAGAGTATCACGCTTCAGCCACGAGACCTTTCTAACGGGGAGCTGATACCCAACCCATGGCCCGTCCATTGTGTATCAAGCCGTGGGGAGCAGCGTATCAATATTTGCGGTGAATGGAGACGGTGATGCAAGCTGTGGACGGCCAGACAACCTTGAAGTGTGATTGTAGAAAACCGCTCACCCTGGCTAAAAGCCGGCAATTGCAAATATCTCAGCCAGCAAATGCCCCCGACGACTTACTTCAGTATAGCGTCTAGAAAATTACTCGTTATCAATCAGATAAGATCCACTGAACTACATCATTAGATTTTAATGATTACTAAGATATTTAGACTAGACAGTATATATAAAGGAAAGGGTCAACTATATAATTATATTAAGTAATTAATGGTAGAGTATAAATGGCTCGTCTACTTCGGTTTACCCCGCAGCCAGTCTGTTGCAGCTTTGGGAAATCAGAGGCATTGAGGGGGGACTGCCGTAGAAGTGGAGGTGTTCTCTGTGAGTTCTTCAACACTTCTTGAGTGACCCTGGGACGATTGAGTAAGTGCTTGGATTGTCGAGGTCTGGGTGTCATCTGAAGGCTTCCCTTCGGTAATACCGACACCGTCGCCCCAACACGGAAAACGGGTTAGAATAGCTTCTAGCCGAGCATCATAGGCATGGGTCGCGTCCAGTAGTGTTGTAGGAGTCGATTCCCTGCATAGTCTCTAAGCGGTAATGGAAGAGGTCGACAGGGCCGACAACCAATCCTACCGATCCAATGACTGTAGGGTCTTTAAATACCGAGTCTGATCTTGACCTACCGACAAATGCTGAGACAAGGAAAGATGAAGTGTGTATCAAAGAAGTCTGGCATTTGGAGATGAGTCTAATCAGAAACTTGGTAATGACGAGCTATCGTTGTGTATTATCCAAAAAGAAAAACCTATCTGATCAACTTGCATGTCAGCTTTCAAAAAGATGGCTCCCTTGACATATTCTTGTTTTCTTTGCGGCTGCACAAAGTTGTAGGGGTGATAGTATGCCATCTCAATTCGTCCGGCTATATTGGTTAATCTCAAATTCGGCGTGAGTCATGACGTCGTTGAGTCATCAAAATACGACCTTGTCAGCATGCAGTCTTCCTCAGTATGCAACAGTGAGTGTCTATATTTATGCCGTAGTCAATACCTTCTATAAATTATCCAGGTTATGAATCTTAATACCTTCTTCTATAATGGCTTCCGATACACCAGCCCCTATTAGAGTGTTACTACTCACCAAGAGTCGAGGCTACCGTCATGATTGCATACCTACTATGGTCTCGGCTTTCAACTCGTTCCCAGTCGTCGTGAAGCATACTGAAGATTCTAGTCAGCTATCTTCACTTTCCGATTACGATGTTATTGCACTTGGCCATAACACTGGCGAATATCTGACTGAAGACGAGTCCATTTTTCTAAGAGATTTTGTTGAGAACGGTGGTGGTATTGTCGGCATTCACGCCGCCACGTCCGGCCTGAAGAATGATGCGAGATACACCAAGATCCTTGGTGAAGTTTTCAACGGCCATCCTCCACCGCAATGGATAGCCCTTGAGGTAGAGAACCCCAAACATTACATCAACGACTACGAATCTCTCCCTGGGATGGACTCTGCGCCAGCTTCGGCCCCTCCATGCCCAATTAACCTAAAGTCTGGAGCAGAGAAGCAATTTCTTTGGTTTGATGAACTATACAGCTTTAGGTCTCACCCGCGCCTCGCGGAAGGGCGAACTATGCTACTCTCTGCTCGGGACGAAGATGACTTGACAACCGAATCTGTTGGGTTTCCTCTATCTTGGTGCCATACTGTTGGGGCCGGGAGAGTCTATTATACCGCTCTGGGTCACTTTGACGAGGCATATCAGGATTCATGGTTTTTGGGGAATCTACACCGAGGTATCATTTGGGCTGCCAAAAGGGACGTATAGAAGAAAATCCATTTCGAGGCGTGACCTCAACTCACTTGAATGGACCACCGATCCACGCTTTATAGCAATTATATCAGAAAGAGCACGGATTAAGGTAGAGTTACGACCGTCATTGGGTGAAATCTAATGGTGCCTATTTGCTTGAGTTAAAGAGCATCATTATAGAGTCCCTCCGGACATTGAACCCAATTTGCTTCTTACCTTCCGCTTCTAGGTCGGATTGTCAGGCTTTCGTGTCATGCTCGGTGGCTAACGGGGCCTTCTAATTCCCGTGTATACTTCTTCCCCAACGAGTCTTGCCAATGAAAACGCAATGATTTCAAAGAACGCCCGTAAGCATGTTGCGTAAGCTTATTTTAGTCTTGTTTCAATCCCCAGTCTAAGTTTATGCTCCGGAGCGATCTGACATTCGCTGGTCCCGCGGTGGTCCCGCGGTAGCACCGCGGCTTCCCCTGGTTACGACAGAAACGGACTTGAGCGTTATGAAGAAACGGAGACACAAGTAAACACTACTTCATTCTAATGGCTTTAAGTATCCTGGGAAAAGAGATATATAAGCTCCGAGGGTGTTCTTGAAGTGATGCGGCCCAGACAAAATCAAGAGCAACAAAATCCAAGAGAGCCTCAACATGTCGACATCAGCCTCTCTAGAACTGACCCAAAGCCTGTTAACCAGCGGTGCTAGAGCCGCTGGAATAATTCTCTTACAAGCGAGCTACTTCCTCGCTATTCCTCAACTTGCCCGCGACATTCCTGGCGGAACTCCCGGTATGCATGGCGGTGATAGTGGTGCCCCTCTCGTTATTTATCGCACAAATCCGGGAACCAGCCAGTCTCAAGAATACCAACAGCTCAATGTACCTGGTGGCGAGGATGCTGAATTCTTCCAACTCGGTGACCGGACCTTTCTGGCTACCGCGAGCGTTCGTTCCGGGTCTGATCCAAACCACGACCCTAATGTGGACTCTTGCATCTTCGAGTGGGATGGCGACAAGATGGAAGAGTTCCAATGTGTTCCCACTTGGGGCGGGAAGCAGTGGCACAATTTCAATCTAGCCGAGCGTCATTTCCTTGCCCTGGCTCAAGGGCATGGTGAGATCGCTGAGCAGCCCGAGGCGCCAATTACGATCAACTCTACCATCTTTGAATGGAATGGTGACAACTTCGAGCCATTCCAGATTATTCCGTCCTTGATGGGTTACAACTGGCTCCATTTCTCCCTCGAAAATCGCGACTTCCTAGCCTACGCTGATCAATACAACCTCTCGACCATCTATGAGTGGAAGGAAGATAAATTTGTTCCTTTCCAAGCTCTCGATGGCGTGGGCGGAAGGGCTTTTGAATTGATCTCCGCCCATGGACGCACACTACTAGCATTTTCGCTCATTGGTTCCGACAGCGTGGTCTACCAATGGGCAGGACAGTCTTTCGAACACTATCAGACTCTTGAAGGCATCGGTGGTCGGGAGTTTGCGTTGATCGAGGACAAGAACACTTCATACCTACTCCATATCAAGTTTCTTCAAGGAAGTTTGGAGGACCCCGATACCTCCATGACCTCCATCATCTACCGCGTCGATCCTGACGGGTTGAAGGTCACTGGTGACTTTGCTACGTTTGGCGGAACCGATGTCTCAACGTTTAAGCAGGATGGCAAGACGTTTGTTGTCACATCAGAGAGCCTAACAGAAGATTTGAGATTCCGTCAAGACTCTCACATATATCAGTTTGTCACTCAAAAGTCGAATAAGACCGGTGACGCCAAGCATTCGCTGTCACAAAGAAGTCATGGCCGTTTTAAGAGAGAAGATGACTATGTGGTTCCCGAGTTTATGAGCCTATTCTCTGCTTACACCGGAGGGCCCAGCGGTATTGGCGCCAAATATCAAAACATATCGACCGATGCTCAGGCAACCACTCCCTTGCTAGTTGCTACCGCCGAGTCCATGGTGTTGTATCCCGGTAATGGAGACGACCCCGTTGTTCTGGACTACCGACTTGGGGTCGCGGGTTTCATTGAGCTGACTGCTGTATCACATCTTGGTCCTGCTGTAGCTTCTCTGGCCGAGGTGTACGAGGCCCAGCCTGAATCAGACGAGTGGAGAGGGTTGGCGACACAATTACTCAATGCGACTGAAGCGGCACGCAATGTTAACTCCGAGGCCCTGTGGAAGGACACACTCAAGATCGAAGCATACCAAGGTCGTGAGAGCAAGATTGCCGACATGATAAACTATGCCTGTGACCTCACTTCGCGCCTACTCGAGGCTGTGCTCGCCGACCCTTCCAAGCTGAGTGTCAAATTTATACGAGAGAATTACGTCAACGTAACCGGCGGAGAGTTCAACGCCGAGGTTCCGATTAACAAAGTGATGACGGCGACCTTCTTCCTCTCGGCACTTGATGGGGCTATGCAAACCCACAATGTACTCAAGGATCGGGACATTGACTGGACCAAGATTATGGTTCTGATCAATGGAAAGATTGGCCGCCAGACGGCTGGCGTCGTCATGAGTAGCAAGAGCCTGGCCCAGATGTTCCTCAAATCCCAGCCTGAACTCACCCCCGACCGCATCTACATCGCTCCCCACGGCACTGTGCCCAACACCACCGACAGGAGCGTCGAGCACCTGAGGAGTTACGAAACGGAGCTTCGCCGACTTTGGGCGGCCACTCGTGGCTACGTCGACTTGTCTGGCAAGATGTTCGAGGGCTATCCGGCTTACAGCGTGGCGATGAGCACCCTTCCCGTTGTCAACTGGACGACCCCCAGCGTCAGCGAGTTGCCAGCCATTTCCGGTCCAGATGACTGGCTCGCTTTGACCACCAGCATACGCGTCACCCTCGAGGACCCGCGCCAGCCGTTGTCCGGGTCGATTACGGACTATGCCACGCAGACAATCTTTGAAGCTGGCTGGGACTTAACCAAGATTGTTGTGCCTGGCTTAGATAATGTTGATTACAAGACTGCTCAGGCCAAACTATTCACATAGGTTGACTATTACGACAGTATCAGGGTTGTCAAAACACTCGATATAGATATTCACTAGAACATTGAGGCCGACTAGCACTCAAAAGCGTAACATCTCTATGTTTCCTATGCGTCTTTGGTGGTGGATCTTTCTGCTCATGCTAGTGACTCGGATTACCTGACACTACCATTTCAACCACGAATGGAACCTTTAAAACCATGAACTTCACCGAAACATATCATTAAACATTAGTCACTCCTTAGATAAATTCAACTATTAAATTTTCGGTCAGATACACGTCCATTGGCTACACTATACTAAGTCGAATTATCACACATCGCGTAAGTCTGCGCCCTTTTATACCAATACCAGGCAAGTGCAATATAGAGTGTCCATTGTTTGAGCGATTATCCCTCGGTGCCTTCCCCTCATTTAATTACTTTCCTTTTCACTTCTGCCTCGATGATGCCGAGTTTCTGACTTTGATGTGACCCATAAGCCGCCCTTCCTAGACGAGCGCGGCATCTTCGGGCAAAGTCTATCAATACCTAAGAGCGTTGTTGCATAACTGAGATTTCAAGTATGTAATGTATTGTTTCTTATTTGAATAAATGGCTTGGATCTAGATCTACGTCGTCCAGAAGCGAGTTCCACTCAAACTTCTTCAAATCAGGCACTGTGGCCAAAAACTCTGTCCACAATTCATGAGATTCCTCCCAGCGCCCGTCACCCATCAAAGTGTCTTCAGGACCTTCATTGGACTCTCCATCCAACACAACATTGCTTGGCTGCGTCTGGTTCGAAAAGGCGGGCACCCCTTTTTCCGTTGACTCATCAGCTGACCGAGAGTAATTATTCTCAAAGCTCGCCATGATTGTTCTAATATTCCTCTGAATCCCCGAAATGAGACCGTTCAAGCTCTTTTTCGACCGCTCTAATGTTCGATAGGCCACCATGACCCTTTCCCTTTGAGACTCGGCACCTGGTGCTGCGGGGTTGTAACTCGAAGACAGCTCAGGGTCGTCCATGGCGCGGCGGATTTCTATTATCTTCTGCGCGGAACGGACGCATGCATTGCGGGAGTACGAGTACTCTGGATTGGACAAACCTTCCAAGTGGTAGTATCTATGCAGTCGGCAGAGTCGGGCATGAAGACTAAGATGGACCGAAAGCCTTTGCCAGGCCCCTTGCAGAGTTCTACTTGCTCCTGAGAAGGGTTTAGTTGGAAGAATCCGGGCAGCTGCTCCTCCAGTTGCTGCAGTCTTTTGTCAAAGCCAAGGACTACCTGATAGTCGGGCTTAATTGAATCATTCAAAATTGGAGAGATTTCATCGGTAATCTCGCGGCATATGCCAGCCATCTTTATACGCTGCAGAAAGTTAGACATGGTCGTGGGTGTCGAAGAAGCAAAATCAATTGCTGTTTCCGAAGGCAATATGAAATCATCGTCGGAGTTACACGGATAACGGACATTCATATGTGTCGGGTGGAAAGCGTATACTCCCTCTTACAGGTAACCTGAAAAAGAACTCAGCCTAAGAAAGGGTATTAGAGAGCAAATAAGAATTAGAAAGTGATCATAGACATGCCAGTCCGAGGCTACCATGTGCCACCACACTCGGCGCTGAACCTCTACATCTACCGTATTGACCCCCTTGACCCTTCGCTCTTCCGTGCGTGTAGCAGTGTCCAGGCGATGAACTTGCTAGCCCCGCAAAATACGGTTACACTGTAGATCCCTTCGCTAATTGCCTATCACAAATTACATTTAGAAAGTATTCTTAATGAATAGCTATAGTTATTAATATCTTATGCTAATATAGCCTCCCATTCCCAGCCTGTTGAGCAGTGGCCGCCAGCCGGGCCAGTAGGACATCGAGCGGAGCAGCTCATGTTGGTTACCAATTGGTTCGGTAATTCTCGCATTCTCTTACTACTAGAAAGTCTAGAAAATCAAAGAAAAATATTGATTTGAAGAAAGGCTTGACCAGCCTTTCAATCAGTTACCGGAGTGTTCAAATAACTGAAGCAGCGACCTGCGAAAGTGTCAGCCCGGTGAGAATTCTACGCAGTTCAAATTTATGAATGATGAAACGGCGTTTTGTGCGGAGAATTTAGATGACGTCACTCTTGGATCTCGCAACATCTCACTCAACGAAGCTTGCAAAGCCTCAGCTACAGACACCAGACGGCAGTGTTTTCGTTTACGAAGCCTTCTCTCATTCCATGGTACCTTGATTCTTATGGCAAGATAATTAGCAATCTGCGTAAACGGGAGCGAATGTTCCCTGGGATTGAATGCCATCACAGCTGCGTTATTGGTTGATACGCGAATCCACATGCCACCCGTCAGCAAAATCGAGGAGCTTATGACGTTGGTTGATCCGCAATTGTCACAAAATCAATTTCATGTATTTGAATGGTTGAACACTGCTTGAATCAGTAATGCACAGACTGACAGAAGGGAAGTGAAAAGCTACACTGTTGGGCTGCCGGTTCGGCTGTGCTTCATGCGAGCAACAAGGCTTGCATTGATGCTGCCTCTACCAGACATAGCATCCCTGCCAGATACATATTCAGCCGCACGAGAGCTGCCGACTCTCCCATGCATCAACACGATGTCGAAAAGTCGTATGGGATTCATCTCTAAGCTTCCACTTCCGCTGCTGTGCCATGGACATGGCCTTTAGCACATAATCACGCAATGAACGGTGGCCATGGTCGTATTTGAGGCATAACGACAGGGAACTCGCTCTTGCCAAGAGATATGACGCAAATCACCTTTGGCACATCATCAAATCTGACATCGGGCGTCGCAGCCCAGCCAAACTCTTAAGCCAGCCGCAAGGACGATCGTGCCCATCAAAAGGCCCAATTCAACCTAAGCGCCCCAATGAGAGTAATTTCATGATTTCGACGGCCTTTACTTCGTTACATGTTTCGATAAGTGGGTGTTTTAGCTGTGGACCGGCTTGTTATTAGCGGGCCCTTGACTTCTCACTTCGCCGGCTCCATCGCCTGATAACAATACGCTGCTTGGCTCAGAGGATACGGCCAGCTCCAGTAGTCTCCCCCTGGGGCCCCGAAGACACAGGGAATATCCCCATTACAGTGGCTCCCCAGCCGGACACCGCTCGGCCATCTGGAGCCCCAGTTTCAGTGCCCCGTTCACAAGAGTCATTGGAGTACTTGGCCTTCTGTTAAGCAATACGTATCCATTATTCGGCCCGGGAACAGACCATGGCGTGAACAAATTATGGGACGTACGGCTGTTGGTTCCGTTGTAACCGATGGGTGTTTGTAGGCTATCATAATACTGGTGATATCATCAGATGGATACCATGGCGCGTGTGAGATTCTAGGCAGGCCAAGACACGACATGAGTGTCACTTTACCTTTACCCGCCCAATGATCGTCTATGCCGCACCTTATTATAACTTCCTTCAACGACTTTGATAATTAGCCGTTGTTTCACGTCAAGGCGATGCAAGAATATAGCCGGCAGCTCGCGGCGATCTCAGATGTAAAACTCTCACCGAAGCAGCCGATCTAGAAGCCTTCCCCCTTCTTTCTGCATTGCGCTGAATCATTGCTTGACGACCGCTGCTGCAGCCCCTGGTCTCCAGCCTTTTCTTGGGCTCTGATACGTGCGCTTACATAGCCGCCACCGGGGCCAGAATACCCAAATCCCCACTCATCTGTCTACCCTGCCCAAAACAGTACCGATGGTGTCAGAGAGGGAAATATCTGTTACTGTATTGTGGATCCAACTGGTCACTCCTCGTTTCTCCAAAGGAGCAAGATGGAGATCTGCTCCCCAAGTGTTGTGCCATGGGGTTGGGAGAGATATATAAAGGACGTGGAGAATCGCATCTCGTACTCTGAATACTGGTTCCCAGGCAGACACACTTCCTTCTCACCTTTCCCCATTATCAAAGAATAGGGAAACACAGGTTGCCCAGCATGATGATCTGGAACATTTACAGTAAGTGGAAGGACCTAAAAGAACGTAGAGCTCATTCACTCACACCAAGTCTTTCCAGTCCTTGCCGCCTTGGGCACAATTGGTGGCATGCTCTTCGGCTTCGAAATCAGTTCCATGAGCGCCTGGATCGGCTCGGAGCAGTATCTCGAATACTTCAACCACCCCGATTCTACTACTCAGGGAGGCATAACTGCCTCCATGTCCGCTGGATCCTTCATCGGCGCCATTGCCGCCGGCTGGTTTGCCGACAAGTTTGGCCGCAAAGGTGCTCTCAAAATTGCTTCGCTCATCTGGGTAGTCGGTGCTGTCCTTCAATGTTCATCCCAGAATATTGGCCACCTCATTGCCGGCCGTATCGTGGGTGGTCTAGCCATCGGCATCACCAGTTCTCAGGTCCTGGTGTACTTGGCTGAACTGGCTCCATCAGCGATTAGGGGAAGGATTGTAGGAATTCAACAGTGGTCGATTGAATGGGGTAAGCAGAGTCCAAATCAGATTTCCTTGGCTAGATCGCTGACTTCATATACAGGTATTCTAATCATGTATCTCATCTCATACGGCTGTTCCATCCATGTCAAGGGCCCCTCCGCCTTCCGCATCGCATGGGGCGTCCAAGCCATCCCTGGTGCCATCCTCTTTACCGCCCTCTGGTTCTTCCCAGAGTCTCCACGTTGGCTTGCAAGCAAGGACCGATGGGAGGAGTGCCACGAAGTTCTAGCCAATCTCCATGCCAAGGGCGATAGAGAAAACACCGTTGTGATTGCTGAGCTAGAGGAAGTGCGAGAGGCAGTCCGAGTCGCCTCAGCATCCAAAGACATCGGCTACCTAGGCCTCTTTGCACCCGGGATCTGGAAGCGAACACTGGTTGGTGTCAGTGTCCAGGTCTGGCAGCAACTTCTTGGCGGCAACGTTATGCTTTACTATCTAGTCTATATTTTCAACATGGCCGGCGTGGTAAGTTCAGGGAACCCATGATGTTGGCTTGTTCGAGAATGCTAATTATTATAACTGCAGTATGGCAATATTGCTCTTACGTCGTCCATCATTCAATACGTCATCTTCCTTGTCACCACTGGCGTTATGCTACCCATTGTTGATCGTCTAAGTCGCCGTTGGATTCTCATCACCGGAGCTATTATTTGTGGTATTCTTCATTTCGTGACAGGCGCTGTCATGGCCGTCTATGGTCACGCGGTTGATAGCGTCGACGGTAAGTTGATGAGGCGCCCCTATATCAAAGCCATGCTAATACTGTGAAGGCAACACTATTCTTAGATGGTCAATCTCTGGTGCACCGGCAAAGTCAGTCATTGCCATGGCATACATCTTCGTCGGTGTTTACGGTCTTACTTGGGCTCCCGGTGCCTGGATTTACTGCGCTGAGGTCTTCCCTCTGAAATACCGCGCCAAAGGTGTTGGTCTTTCCGCTGCCGGTAACTGGATGTAAGTTTTCAATCCTCGATGCCTCAACAGATAAAAGACACGTTTTTCCTAATACGGTTCACAGCTTCAACCTCGCGCTCGCATTCTTCGTCCCCCCTTCCTTCACAAACATCCAATGGAGGTCATATATGATCTTTGGCACCTTCTGTATTGCCATGACCTTCCACATCTTTTTCACGTATCCCGAAACTTCAAAGAAGTCGCTTGAGGAGATTGATCGCGTATTTGATGAGAATCTCCCAGCCTGGAGGACAGGCATGGATAATTCCTTCGCCGACAAGGTGGCCGAGGCCAAGGGCGTCACGGCTACTGAGGTTGAGAACAAAGAAAATGTTTAGATGTTTCGTGGCGAGATACATTTCGCATATTTTTCTGTATTCCTCGCCTTTATAGATGAACATTCTTGGAGGACGATGACTGATAGGCTATGAGGCGTCTGTTTCAGGGTGCTTTCTTGGTGAGAGTTAAAAGACCAAGTATATACCAGTTCCATAGCCAGTTGTACTCTTGGGTTGCAGTAAAGAAGCTAGATACATGGAGAAATCTTTTAGTTTTCCGGAAATCTATCCCCGTTCCTTCAATTTTGATCGGCATGAACACTTCTCAATCGTCCTTCTTGCCAACAATGCCGCTCCGCTTTAGGCCAAACCAGAGCACAATGGTGACAGTTCCGCAGCTCGCAAAAATTGTCCAAAAGGCTGCGCGATAGCCCTTCATCAAACCAGCCGCTGAATCTTCTATTCCCGAGTGTTCTGTGACAGATGCAGCAATAGCGGCTGCAACAGCCAACCCGACCGAATTGCCAAACTGGGATACTTCGTTGAAGACGCCTCCTGCTAGAGATTGAACCTCTGGCGGGAAAGCATTGGAGATTACGAGGTTGGATACCGTAAATAGGACTAAAGGAGCGATAGGGTTAGCATATGAAGAACTAATATTAAAGAGATCATCGCAACAAA